CGACAGACGGTTCAAGCGTGACCCAGACGCTCCCTTACGCTCCTCGCAGCCGGGACTTCTTTGGAGCTCATGGCCTTCTCGCCACGCGCCGGGTCTGTCGGGTCCGACGAGCTCGAAGCAAAGGAGCCGAGACTTCCGGCAATGCCGCAATCTCGTGGCTACTGGAACGCATCCAAAGTTTGCACAAAGGCCTCTTGGCGTGAAAGTGCCGTAGTTTCGCAGTGACCGTTTCGGCTCGGGGTGCCAGAGTGGGAGAGGGCGTGAGACGTCCAACGAGCAGCTCCCTAATTGCGGCAACACTCTGCATGATTACCCAGTGTTCCATACCTGCCATACCTGTAAAATTAGACTCAGAATATCATGAATCGTAATTCACAAATTCTTTCATAGCCTGTTCCAAGTCAATTTCGAATTGACTTGGCGACTATTCCTCTGGATGCAGGGTTCAAGAAGACAGCTAGCATGAGATTGAATGCCGCGCAGGCTTCTTCCATGATACTTGGCAAAGTGCTCGCAGAGCTTACCAACACCCCGGACCTCCTGTACTCAGACGAGCATGCAGCCGTCCGGAAATTCGGCGACAACGCCGATGCGGACGACGAGATGCCGGAGTGGGCCAATGAAGCCTCCGGGGCGCACAAGGACTCTACGTCTGATGCCGAGCACGAGCACCGTGAGCGCGTGACTTGGAAGAAGATGAAGGACCGCCCAGGCCACCATCGACGGTACCAAACACGCCGGCAGAAGCGTGAGCCTGGAGCAGAGATACCTGGCCTGGCAAACCTTACAGCTTTCAGACGATGTAGACCTAGATCAGGAAATCTCAGTTTAGTTACTTAGCGATTTGCTGCCATCGACTGCAAGGAGGACTTCCGAGCCGCCCATGATGCCTTTGGTCGCTGGTGCCGTGAAGCCTCCCATGGTCGACGTGGCACTGAGCCACCAGTAGTACTTTTAGCAGCGGAAGCAGATTACGAAGTGACACATCAGCTGCGTGATACTTGACGCGGGTGGTGGGCACTTCGTACGCATCATACTTTCGCGGTAGGTTTATTTCACTTGACTCGCCCCCAAAGGCAACAATGCTCCACTGTACATTATGCCCGTCGGCACTCAATGCCACGCTTGCCAGTACAGGTTCATTGGCATGGCTCATGTGCCGCAGTATGTTCGCATAACCATTGTACAACTACACGACTACACTCACACGACTCCGACTCCTAGCGTGTAACAATTCGCTTGTTTGTCATCTGCGCACTCTTCCAAGATGCAGGCATTGCAGATTTAATCATGTGCCACATCGGGCCGCCCTCGTTTTTCCCTCAAGGGAGCGCCCATGATGCGTGGGGATCATGGGTATGTGCACAGTGAAGTGTTGGTACAGGCATCGGGCTGCAGAAGTCATTCCGATTTGACAACGACAGGAGACGGATGAGCCCTGAAAACTGGGTGCATCAGCGCTGAGTCTGAGCTTATCAACTCAAGTGCCAAACCTGCGCCGCACACTAAGGCATGGCGAGGACTTTGAGTTTGGTGTCTTGCCTGATTTCGGAGAGATTCCTGAGATTCCCGTTGTCTTCTGCAGCGCAAGAAACTTGGAGCCATCTCCTGAAAACAAAATTTTTCCTATAATCCCGTCACCGGTATATTCAATAGCTGCTCACACGCCATTGGTTTGTGCTACGAGAAGAAGCCCCCAGGCTGAGCGTATCATGCCCCGGGCCCCCTATGTGGGATCTGCCGCAGCGGCCCAGTCCCAACATCCTTTGCTCACGTGCGACAACGCCTGTTAACTGTGGCACACCAAAGCATTTAAACGAAGATTTGCTTCGTTATCTTCTTGCATCTTCTGGTCCGTGTTTGCACACCGCCATAGCATCTGCTGCCTCGAGCTTAACAGGTTGGCATGTTCTCCGAGTGGCTGAGAGAGACAGCGCAGTTTAGGTGAGATTTTCATCCATCAGATCATTGAGACGATTGAGTTCGTGTTGGGCACGGTGTCGCATACGGCCTCGTACCTCCGCGACTTGCCGCATGTGGAGATGTTGTCCGGCCAGGGCCCAGGCATGCCTCTGCAAGCACTTTGTGCTTCCAAGGCATCTGGGCGCTCTCACTGGCTCATCAGCAACTCTCCCTCGTCTTCTTCCAAAAGACGCTGACAATGGGCACCCTGCCTTCCACGAGTTTGAGAATTGTGCCTGTAACAAGTCCGACTCTCTGTGCTGAACTTCCGACCTGACTTGAGCAAAGGTTTGACAATGTCCTTCCCCATGAACGGGATCATGATCTACCTCATGTTCGCTGCGTGGTTCGCGATCACACTGGCTGTCCTCCTTGGTATGGACGTCCTGGAATGCTTCTTGCACACCTTGCGGCTGCATTGGGTAGAGTTCCAGAGTAAGTTCTACAAGGCTGAGGGTTTGAAGTTCGCGCCCTACTCCATCAAGAAGCTGGTCACACCGACTGGCGACGGAGAGTAGTAGCGCAGGCGCAGCGGGAACTCACAGAGGTGCCCCCCTGACGCCTCTGAGAGCCTCTGGTCCTGTGAGTAGAGTGCCAAGCGCAGTTTTGGCATTGGTCACTGAGCTATTCTTAGTATTGTCTTGTAGCTTTCAGCTTAGTGCAACAGTCACAGACATGCCGCAATTTGGCCCGTTCGCACCTATGGACCAGTGCTGAGTCTTTATTTAGGTGGAGAAACTAGGACTAGGACCCAAGGCTTCAAAGCAACGGTGCTCCAACATAGCGTTAGCGCAATCTTCTTCGCTTGGGCCCAGGCCCAAGCAGGGGCTCAGCTCACGTGATGTGTTGAGTATCAGAGCACCGAGTCTTGGTGAAGCCCTCAGGGCCCATCGTGAACCCATCTTTGCTTTTGCAGCTGCTCCACAGTTCAGCCTTCTGCTCTCAGAAGCTCCAAGTAGTTGCACAATGAAGCAGTGCCGAAGCATTTTCACGAGCAAAAGGCTGAGTGCGGCCTAAGCACACGTGGTGTGCGAGCTACTGTGAAGCGGTGCTGCAAAGGCATGTTCCAGAAAATGTCGCGCGGTGTCTTTAGGCTGCCAGCTCCACGTCCTGCAGCATTTCGTCACTTTGTTTTGCGAGGCGGACTTGATGGATGCATTGCCTGTGTCAGGTCTATGAGAATGCCGAGCTCCCGAACCGGAGGCGACATCTGCAGCCCACGACTATTGCGTAAAGTAATGAACCCTCAGCAAATTCAAAGCGATGCACCAGAAAAAGCATGTCCACCATGGAGTTGAAGATTCGCATTGCAGAGACAGCTTCGAATCGAGCTCTCTCAGGGTTTGGGGTACTGCGCTGACTCTGAGACGGGTGCAGAGTGGTGCCAAACATGTGCTTTGACTGCTCTTGCTTCGATGGTACGGAAGGCTGGGACCCAGAAGTCCTCAGTCGTGCAGACACTGTGCCGATCCTATAGCCGCTATAGCCTATCGAGCGCAGAGCACGGCTCCCGCGATGTTGCATTCCAGGTACTGCCCTTTGGCAGACCCTGGTCAGCTGAACAAGACCTGGCATATCCCACTGGACGGAATTGACCTGGAGCAGGTCTGGGGCAGTGTCGGAACTCCGGAGCTACCGAGTGCACTTGAACATGCCGGAGCAGGGTGACTGCCCCTTTCGAGCGCACCAGTCCGGCACCGGGTTGGTGCTGTAGGCCTTGGCTGAGCGGTGGGATATTCGTGCTGCTTCCCAGGTCCTGGCAATACCCTCGGAAGATCAGAAGGTATGACCATTACTACCAGTAGTGGTCGTACCGTCGTATCTTTCGACCGTACTGCCAGGACCTGAGAAGGGTCACAGCCCCACAGACCTGCAAATGATGCTGGCTGCGATTTGGCCGTAGCCAGGCAGCATCCCTTTCACTTTCGCGTCCCAGCAGCCAAGGGCTGTGTGGGGTTGCAATCTCCCCAGCGGCGCAGGGGCACTAGGCACAGGCTCAGCCCCGACTACTTTCGAACTTAGCTGGCCCGAGCTGGGGCGATGGCGAAGCGAGGACGGATAAACCGCAGCAGGTAGCTGCTGCGGTTGGGTCAGACTGGACTTCGTGAGTGGTTTGGAAAATCAAACATCGCGTGATAGCTGCCAGCACTAGATTGAAAGGCCTAATGGCGTTGTGGTGCCGGTTGATGCATTGCAGCTCTGTGCCGTAGTCTACGCCTCAATTTGCCAAACGTTAGGGTTCAGGGGAAATCATGTCCCTGCCACCAGCGTGCAGGGCTGGCAGCTCCTCGGTTTTGCACCATTTGTGGAAGTGTTGCATTGCTCAGTGTTCTGGGCTCCAGACAGCCGTGCACCCCTTAGAGACAGGTTGGCAGCAGCAGCATCTGACGACGTACGCTGGCTCAGAGACGAGTGCATGTCCTTTGAATGTTTTTGCTTGGATGCTACTTGTAGGTACGGCAGGCTCGGACCGGAGTCCTCAGCCGCTAGCCATGCTTCTCCAGATGCTGTGCCGATCCTGTACAGCCCGGGCATGTTGCACGAACGCAACATGAATGAAGATGAATGAAGGCCCATCGCACAAAGCATGACGGCGCCCAACCTCCCTCCTTTCGGTACAGGAGTCTGCCGCTCCGGCTCATAACTGTACGGTGCGAGGTGGCTTTGGGTGTCCGTTGGGTTTTCGTTTGTAATTTTGAGGTTTGGCGTGGCACTGGATGGCTATCTGGCCTTGATCCTGTGCCAGGAGCACAGCCAGATAGCCATCCAGTGCACAGCGACACGCGGCAAAGGGTGGGATTTCTGCATCCGAGATCTCACCTTGCCTTCTGGGTGATCCTCTTGTGTCCTCAACCTCAGTGGTGAGAACTTCCTGCGCGGCGCAAGAGGATCAGCAGCAAAGGCTGTGCTGCTGATCCTTGACATTGGCCTGGTCTCGAGGATCGTGGGCGATATAGTAGGCAGCCCGTACATGGACTTGTGGCAACCTAGAACCGGCAGGAACGAACTGGGCCAGGAGTGGCAAAACAATATCCATTATGTGGCTGGGAGCTCATGTTTCCAGTTTGTACCGCCAGGCTGAGAACTGAATCCGGAGGTAGTCGGTCAGTTGCACAGCATTGCACAGCAGCAAAGGCCAACCAGACCTCCCAGGGAGACGGAATACCCGTCCACGAGCTGGATGACGAAGAGTGCCCCGAAGTTCAGATATGGACGAAAAGCCAAGCCACGTCTCCAAGGAGTCGAGGCGTAAGCTCCTGTGCTGTCAGGTACAACCAACTCTTCGACCACAAGGCATTCATCCATGATAAGTCCAGGAGCCACTCGTGTCAGTTCAGGTTTATGGTTCGGTTTCCGCAGAATGCCATGCCATGCGAAGGAACCGCTGGGACAAACAACTGCTGGAGGTTTTGGTGCTGGAGGGCGACGTCGGACACCATATTTGCAAGCTCTGATATGTGAGGGTGAACTCGGCGAGCTCTGAACCACCGGAACTTGCCCGTTGCGGCTTCATTGTTTCACTCTGCTGGTATCTACAAGGGGAGTCAAGGGCTACTCGGGGCTGCAATATCTCCCCAGTGGCCCCAGGGCAGTGCGGCTGATTCTGCTGCCGTGAAGAAAAAGAGAGTTTGGGGTGGGCAGTTCGCATTCACTTCGTGGGAGGGATATCGTTTAATGCGATTCTAGCTGTGGCTTGCTGTCGCAAGGTCTGTAGGCAGCAGTCAGTGCTTCCACTAGGATTTGGACGGGGCTTGCGAGGGGTGGAACGATTGTTTTCATTTTGATTTAGGCTTCTGTTGCTACTCAGTCTTCGTCAAATCACCAGCACAGTGTGTCCGAAAGTCTTTCAGAGGCTCAAGCCATCCATTACATAGCTTGCTGCAATATTGCCGTACCTTCCAAGCAGTGTAATGGCCCATGCCATCTTATGATGCCAGCAGCTGTGCCGACGATACCAGTCCCTTTCGGGTCTGTGAGCCTACGTGCGAAGCGAATCCTAGCTTGAGTCAGAAAAGATGTGATTCTCCATTCATGCGTTCTGCCTGGTAGTTCTTTAGGCTTTCGGAAAGGGGCCGATCACGTGCAGCTTGCTTGCTCAGTGACTGTTTCATTGTGGTCGACCTGCGGTGTTGCGCTGACTGCTAGGCTGCCTAGGTTGCAAAACACCGAAGGTTAACAACGCCTCTGTCACAAACTTGATCTTGACTGTGAACCGTGTGTGCTCACAAAGAGAAGCGAGGTTGATGCACATCACAAGAGAACACGACAGCCAACGACTTATCCACTTCGGAGCGCAGGCGAAACTAAGAACTGGAGAGCATGCGCCCAGCGCATGGCTGCGCCTGCGGCGCACCGCTGCAGGAGCCCGGAGCGGAGAGCGCCCACGACTCGGTTCGTCTTGGTGTCTTTCAACTAAAGCGGTGCGATGTTGGCGTTCCTTGGAGTTTCTGAAAGACGGGACCCTAATTATTCATATGCTTGGAACGTGCATGTCAGTTGCCATTTTCGCAGCTGGTACGGTTGGAAAGAAAGTGCAGCAACAAGTCCGACGCTTCAAACTATATTGAAGCTTTTTGCACCAGTCTTTTCCGCAGCGCGTTCAACCTCTTTCGTGACAACCAAGAAACAGGTGGCATTAGCTGCTTGCACTGCAAAGTCTGCACCTCGGGCTGCTCTACTCTTCTTTCCCATTGGGAGAGTTGCGCTGTTCTCGCTGGACGCGTGGCTAGTTGGGCGTGAGTGCAGGCCTTCAAGCAGAGGTCATGCAGAAGAGGCCCCCAGAAGTTTCTGCACATGTCACCGAATGTCACCCTGAAGTTCGGACTGCTGCTGTGGGGTTTGAGTAAGGAGCCCAAGCCGCGGATGCCGCCGCGCAGCTCCTTAACTTACTGCGCAACTGAAGGCCACCGAAGGACTGACTGAAGAGTTTTGTCGTTGTCAGGGTCGCACAGCAGATTACTGATTGTTTCGTTCGGCGATATTCCACTAAGACCTTTGAAACATGAGGATAAGATGCTAATTATGATAATGCTGATCTCGGCATCGTCCTTCTGTTCGACGAGATTTGGATCCACGTCCACTTTCGATATGTCGCAGCTTCAGAGGTCGCCTAAGATTATCTAGAATATCCAGTATAATATGGCAGATCGCATAGTACCCAATGCCTGGCAAAATATTGGTCCGGAAATACAGATGATCATGTTCCATGCAGACGGGGAAATAACCGCAATATCTAGGATCTTTATCGACGCCATACAATATTGTTGCGGGCTGAAACGGGAAGGGCCCGAGGCCTGGCCTCTGAACGACTATAGTAATGCCATACCATAAACTGGAGGTACCATCCAGGCTTTTAAAGGTGCCCATGTGCTTGCATTTTGAGCTGCGAAGCCCTTTCACGGGCCTGATTGAAGCGCCTCGACTTTCACACAGCTTAGAGAGATTAGGGGGATGCAATCCGGCAGTGCCGCTGCCTTAGGAGAGGCTGAGCGTGAGGAGACAGTTTGTCGTTGATTTTCCTTGACAAGACGACGCATGCCTTGGGTTGGGACGACCCATTCCATGCGCGCAAGCGTGTTCAGATTCTTTGTCCTTCATGTGACTAGTTTGGCATGTATTTGGCATGACCGGAGTGGCGCAACATGTTGGGCAGCCAGTTCCAGCTGTTCAAGCCGATATGTCGATGGGCCAGTCCTCGTAGTCGGCTGCCTTCATGCCGAAGGCTTTCGGCTTGCAAGTCTCGCCCAGCCCGGTGTTGCGGAATCTACTGCAGCACTACCCAAGTGGAGGTCAGCTTCGCGGCTGCATGTATCGCCACGATCTACAGGTTGTCTCGCTGCTTTCGGTTTCTGGTTGGACGAGGTGCCTCTGTGCTTGGGCGTGCTTTTGATGTTGTCGACGTTGTGGGGTCTCTGCTTCGGCTTCACCAAGGTTCATATCGGAAGCCTTACAAAATGCAGAAGACACGAACAGGTCCAAGCATTTTCGTGCTCTTCTGGATTTGCAACAGCACCCGAAAGTGAAGATCAGACAAGACCACCGGCCATGGCGGCATCGCTTGCAAGGTCCTGCGTTTCTGTTCTATGATGATGGCGGGTTTGCGGACAGAGATTGGGAAAGTCTTCAAAGGATTTATGACAGTGAGAAGACGCATTCACCGAGTGAAGTTGGAAAGTATGGAATGGGCTCGCGCTCCTTTTTCCATATCGGTGATGTGATACAGATTGTCTCTGGTAGCTCGTATGCCATCTTGGATCCTGATGAAAGGGTATCGGAAAAGGGTCACTTTGGCTCCCGTGTGGATTTCGTCAATGAAAGGTTCAATGGCAAGCGATTCAGTGAGAGCTACCCTGATGAGTGCGCTCCTTTCCGCGGTCTTTTTGGGTGTACAATGGACAGACACTTCAAAGGAACCATTATCCGTGCCACCTATCTGCAAGTGTCTCACCTTTCGCCAGACATCTCCACGTCGCGACACACATCGTTCAATTCTGTAGCCAGTCCCATCACCACACCAACTACTCGTAATCCCTGCCCCCTGAAATATGAAATACCCCCATCCGTTACAATAAGAACTATAATGGGAGTATTTAATATTCGGGGGTAAGGGGGGTTCAATATTCAGGGGAGGGGATTATCCAGCCATTTTATCAGATGCATGGCGTTCATCAGCCCTAAACCCTACACCCCAGACCCCTAGACCCTTTGTATCCTGACCTCTCCCATTAGCGTTGTTTCTCTTCTCAGACTCCGAACCACATGCCTCGCCTGGATTGTCCGAGTGTGAGCGCCGAAACTTTAAAGTTTAATCCCTAAACCCAGATGCACGGCGCTTCAAAGGTTCCCCTTCGGCTGGAGGCCTTTGCACGCGAGTCCAGCTTCATGCCCAAGGCCTTCTCCGTACAGCGAGCTAGGAACGTCTTTCAGGAGCCGCCTGCCCAAGTCTGTGCTGGTCGCCGTTGTGCAAGAAATTTGCGATGATGAGATTCTTGAGTACTTTTTCTTGCCCCAGGACTTCGAGCAAGAGATGGCTTGCGGCCGCATGGCGCTTTTCCTTCCTCGCCTTGAAGATATCCAACTTCTCATCCGTGAGCCAGATGGAGTACTGCGATGTACCGCGTCTGTACGCATTCAAAAGGCTCGAGCAGGGCAAGTTGGCTTGGTCGACGTCAAGAATTACTTGGCAGAATTTCAGACCTTTGAGCATCTCCAGGCCGGTCAGTGTGGAACGGGTGTGACCAACCTGCGAAAGTTCCGAGTCACGGCAGAGCGTCGCACGCAGGAAGCCTTGAAGACTCCTAACTCAGCTCCAAGAGTCTACGAAGAAGTGAGGCCTGGGAGATGGTACTGTCGGCACAAAGGATGTCAGGTAGGTCTGCGATACTAGAACTATCCCCATGAAGTGGTGCAAGTTTAATCTTGCCACATGGACCTCGAAACCAGTCGACCTCTGAAGTCGGTCTTTTGTCTCGTGTCAGGTTGAAGTCCAAGGGCAAGGAAGGTGAGAAAGAGACAAGTTGGATGCGAGTTGGCAATTTTTTCAGCTCTTCTCTACAGGAGCTTCCAGAGGAGGTGCCTTTTGTATGTCTTGCCATGCCACTTGATGGACCTGTCGATGGCCTGGCCTTTGCGCATTTGCCCCTTCCATCATTGAAGACAGGACTTTTTGCCTGGGAAGAGGGGTGGTAAGCAAGTAGTTCAATGAAAGCTCAGTCGTCCCCAAGCCGCAGGACTCCCTGTCCATTTGCATGCTGGCTTCGCCTTGCAAGCAAATCGTCGGGGAATCTGGCGATTTGCTCCTGATTTAGATGGAGAACATCAGATTTGGGCAGAGTGGAACGAAGAGATCCTTGAGAGCGTGGTGCCCGAAGTCTACTCAGAAGGCCTCAAGAGTCTCCAGGCGGCTTGGGGTGAACCGTGCAGCAAATTTTACTTGTACGCCTTTGACTTGAGGTCTTGTCCACTCAGAACTGGCTTTCGTTTTTTTCCGAACTTTGCCATGAAGTAATTCGTTAGTGCCGGGTAGAGGGAGATTAAGGGAGCATGAGGATGCTTGGGTTGAGTTTGCATGAAGGCTACGAGGTTTTCGGTCATGGTTCGCCTATACCGTCTTCCATTGATAGGAAAGATGGAGCAGAAAGACTTGGGGACGATTCAAGCAAGGTGCGTGAGGGCTTAGCCCGCATGTCAACCAACAACTTGCTGCACCAGGCAGAGCTTGATTCGGACACATGGTTCGGGCTTTGGCCGAACCCTGAGCTGAAGAAGCAAGATTTCCAGGCGAAGCGGGGAGATGTTCAAAGATGTGGACTTCTGGAGCCAAAGGGTTGGTTTAGAGTTTAGGGCTCTGGAACTTGGGAAGGTGGCGTGGATCATCTCCCCTTGTGCTGTGATTGTGTGTGCTGAGCCTCCTGAGCTCACACACATCCATTTTCATACCTCTTTTGAGCCCATCTATCTGTGGCAGGTCGTAGTGACAGGTTTGGTTCGGCTCCTCCGTGGTGAACAGATCCTTCAAACATCCTTGGAAGCCTGGGTGTCTCCTGAGAGCGCGCAGCTGCTGGACCTGCCAACACCTGCTTTGGAAGAATGCCGGGACGACCTGGAAGAGCTGTGCTTGCAGGCTGGCATGCAGCTTGGCATGGAAGAGTTGGTCAGTTGGTCGAAGTTGAGCTTGGTGCGTGATGTGATTACCTGCTTGTGCTTGTTGGTGCCACACGAGTTCTACTTTGATTTGCAATGGAAGTAACTCAACATGTGGAGCAGGACCCAAAGATTGACCATAGCAAGCCAGAGCTGCATGTCCAAGGTTTCACGAGAAGGATGGGGACTACAGGTAGAAAACAACACAGCCGTGCTGATGCTTTGTTTGCACAGCGTGGCAGGATAACACGCTGTACTGACGGGGACTGCTTGCAACTGCTGAATCTGGAAGGAAGATGTTCCCATGCACATTTTCATCCAAGAACCCAGCAGACAATAGAACATCACGTATTTCTCACAATGATCTGCTTGGTTGAGTTGACTTGGGACGGGCACGCCGTTGAGCTGAAGTTTCAGTTTGATTGGAATCGTGTCATAAGCAAGCTTGTCAGACTACCCATCTGCTTCACAATGTGTGAGGTATGGGAACTTGTATGCATCTATGTAGAATCGTTTTTGTTGGCTTAGCAGTTGACTTCAGCTGAGGATGATCGTGAACCTTCCAGATCATGTGGCGAAGCTGCTGAAAGATCACGAAGCCATTCTTACGAAGGATCCTTTGTTTTGAACTGCCGCAATTCCCAACTTTCTCCTGGAAGTCTCATGCTTCCACCGGTTTTTGCTTCATGTTGCAAGCTTGCAAGCAGCATCGTGCATCGTTGTGTTGTGATGACCAGGCTGTTTGCCGTTTGTGCTCATTCCAAGGATGCGTTTAGCGCGATTATAGAGGCTGTGCTACGAAGGCACGAGAACATGCAGTTTGAAAGCAATTTTGGGGGCTTTGTCATACCTATAGTAGCTCATCAGCCTTTCATCTGATACGGGTGAGTTGCGCGAGGAATTGACGCTAGTCCAAGCACATGTTTGGCAGGGATTGCCAGCACGATCAGCGCCTGCGGATTTTGTTGGCGCTGATGCAGTTGGCTGACAGCTCCTTCAATCACCGTGAAATGACCTTGCTTGCTACCGAATTGGTTGATCTTCCATGGATCCCCGTTGCTGATGGAACGTGTCTTGGCCTAAGATGGCCAGTTTCGCCTGGGCGTTCTTGATTCTGTCACGTTTTTCATGTCGAAATTAAGGGGTTAAACAGTATGAGACTGCGGCTTGAAGATTCGGTCATATTCGGTCAAGCATGCCCGTGGATGTGTTCGTATGCAAATAATCTGTGCTCAGTATGCAGGGACATCAGACGCAAGTAGCTGTGCAAGGGTCGGCCGATTCCAGGTGCGTTGCGATTTCTCAAGCCTTCGATCCGGATCACAATCTGCCGCCACTACATGTCGTCCTGCGCGACTCGGCGATGAAGTAGCACGCTTTTGTGGAGACGTCGCCGACAAGGGGTCGTGCGTTTAAGCACATTTATGTGGGTTGGAGCCTGATGGAGTGCCCTGCTTCATCAGCATGATCAAATATTCCACAAAGTGGTACTGGCAAGATCAATCAGCTTCTTACTCATTGAGTTCCTGTCGATGCAGTTTCCTAAGCGCAAAGTCATAAATGCCGTTACAGTTGGGTTGTGTGACCTTGTTGCGGGTGTTCAACGGATTGTCAGTCACAGGACGCGCTCCCACGCTGTCACAGCTGCTCCAGAAGCAGTTTCGACACGACCCCGTTGCATCTTTGTTCTACTGAGCGGTGTCGTCAAGTGCAGTGACGACCATTGAATCGAACGTGGTAATTATGCCTGTTTGGCTGAAACTTTTGCCGCTTGTGCAGCTTGGACAAGTTGTTTCTTCTCCCGTCTCAGGCTATCAGTGGAGTTTGGCGTGTTTTGCGGCAATGTGGGTTGAGGCAGCAAATCACATGGGAGGATGCGCTTGAGGAGGCTCGCCACATTGAGAACACAAGCAACCAGAAGCTGTCCAAACTCTTGTTCAAGCACCTTGAGAACTCGCATGTGACCATGGAAGGAAACAAACAGCGATGCTTACTGCAGCTGCGGGCGTTGAAATGGGTTGCTGCTCACCCATGTCAATCTCCTGCATCAACCTGGAGTCCAGAGCAGAGCAGGGGCAGCACTTCGGTAGCACTGTCAGATGCTTTCCCGGCCTCAGATTTCCCCTTGGTGTGGGCGGTCCAGACAACCCTCCATTCGGATATGCCACCACCAAGCCTGTTGCAAGCTGGGAGGTCTGCCAGGAAAGAGCCGGATGTTCTTGTGGCCCAGCTAGAAGCATGTGCTCGAGCAGTGCCGGAATTATCAGGTCAGTCAAATGCAGGAATTTCTGGAAAGATGTGGTCGTTGGCTCGTAAGGTGTTCGGCTCCGCACGTGTGCGTGAAGCTGCTCCTGATGCATTTCGGCACATCCGGGTGATCTTGAGTGAGTTATATGATTTGGAAGGGAAGCAAAAGGAATCCTTCCTTGCCAAGCAGCCGGTGGAGCTGGAGCGTTGCTTTTCAGCCCCAGGCATGCGGCCCGGGGGTCATCACAAGCCTTTCAGACCTTGCTGCCTGCCTTCGGGATTGTGCACCCCGAAGCTCACCGGTTTGCTGCAGCAGTTGGTGTGCCATGCCAGCCCGACATAGCAGCTTTGGTGGAGACCATCCCACGCTTCGGTTTGGACTTGGCCGTGTGCCTGTGCGCAGAGCTAGCTGAACAGGCGCACGCTGAGAACTTTCGAGATCATCTCAAAGGTTTGAGTGTGCCGACCAACAGCCAGAAGTTTCTGCCGCTTGAAAGGGTATACATCAACGATGCAAGCTGGAAGGGGTCTGACGACCTTCAAACCTTGGATGACCGCATTTCACATGCCCATGGAAGGGCGCTTGGCTGCAAATCTGTGCGAGAGAAACTGAAGCAGGAATGTGAGGCTGGTGCAGACGACGAGGATGGCTTCGGTCAAGAAGCAGATTTGGTTGACCAGGTGAAGCTGATTTTGAAGGACTATTCAAGCAACAGTGATGTTGTTGCGGAGTTTGTCCAGAACACGGATGACTTCGGTGCTACAGAACTGACCTTTGAGCTGAATAGCCAGGCTTTCAGAGATGAGCGAGTCGTGGATTTGCGATGCAAAGAGTTACAAGGGCCTGCCCTTTATATTCTGTCCAACAAACCCTTGCGCGATGAGGATATCAAGAACATGCAGAAAGTGGGCCGATCTACAAAGGCCTTCGACTTTGCAAGCACTGGTCGGTTTGGTGTGGGCATGAACGTGATGTACCGCTACACTGACTGCCCCCAGCTTTTTGCAAATGGGCGTTTGCACTTCTTTGATCTGACCTGGAGCTTCGTTGCCAAGAAAGGTGGGAAACGTGGCGAGAAGTTCCACAAGCATAAGTTGGAAGATATGTTTCCTGATAGTGTCCTTCCCTTCCAATCCTACGTGGACAAATTCCCAGTGATTTTTCGCTTGCCTTTGAGGAAGGAGAGATCACAGCTGGGCGAGAAGGTAGATGTTAAGTCAGTGGAAAGAGACCTACACGATATTTCGTCTAACGCGTGGTCCATGTTGCTCTTCGCTAAGTGGCTCAAGAAGTTTCGCGTTCAGACCGCCCAGGGCACCATTTCAGAGCATATTGCAACCATTGGCGATGCAGCCCAAAACCGGAGGCATGCGCAGTTTTTCTCTTCCTTGCCAGCCGATGTCCACCAGCTCCAAGATTTGACAGACAACGCAGTTTGCTTCACGAAGCGGATCCGCAGCACGTCGTTGCACAAGGCCTCAACACCGAGGACTTCCGAGCGCAACTGGGTCGTCGCATTTACCTTGGCCCCATCGCAGGGAAGATTGCGACAGCTTTGCATTGACTACTTCAATGCCGCTTTGGGTGGTGCGTTGTTGCCACTTGCAGGGGCTGCTGCCCCACTGGACCTTGGCGAATCCGAGGGAAGGATGCTTGTGCTGCATCCAATTCACTGTTTGTGGAAACATGTGATGAGCAACTGTATTGCTGCACCTTAAGGCCAAGAAGGTTCAACGCTCAATAGTCACGGGAGTATGGTGGTGGTGCTGTGTGTTGTCTACCCTCACTCCTATAATGTCTTCTTCGTTCAGGATTTGCTGCGGGTTGCCAACTCCTTTGCGGAGTGGCAGCAGGTCCTGGATCAGTGCGCATTTCGTTCTGCAGTCCTCTAGACCCTTGGCTGCGATGGTGGTTTGGAGTGTGTCAGCAGAGTTGCCTCCTGCAAAACTGAGGAAAGCAGCTGTTGCTTCCGGAAGGCAAGAGCCAAGAGAAGGAGAAGTGCAGACCTGCTTGAGTGGGAAGAAGCTGACTATCTAGCTGGCATTCGTCCAGGAAGCCAGAACTACTGCAATCATTGGAGGTTATGGGCATGTTGGATATCAGAACGCCTGTCAGCTTTAGATTCAACCCTAAACTAAACCCTACACCCTGAACCCACTTATTGCCGTTTGGTCCAGGAGCGGCAGTGGAACCTGGAGCTGCTCCAGTACCCCGCGGCCTTGAGCTTGAAATCAGTGATGCTGGAGTGTCGAACGATGGTGAAGTCGAGGGATCAAGTTGAATCTTGCTGTGAAAACTAGTTTTCGGTATTCTCGTGGTCACCCCCCGCCCCCAAGTTTGCAAGCTGCAAGGTAGACACGGGACCACTTGGTTGGATGTTTTTGCTGGGTGTTGCAGGGGACGGTTAGTGTCCAGTAGTACACCAGTAGTTTTGACGTGTGGAGTGCCGGGTGAAGTTAGCTACCAGGATCCTTTCTTCCAGTTGCTCCCATGCAATCGAGCAACACAAGCTGAAGCAGAGTTGGCTGTTGGGGCCTTCTGTGCCGCGCTGAAGGAGGACATTTTCCCTGTACTTTCTTGTAAAGATTCTGAGAGAATCACGGTGCGTTGGGTGCCAGGGCCCAGGCCATTGCTCAGAGCACCGCAACTGTGTGACAAGCTGCAAGATGCCCTGGCTTTCGATGGCATGGACATAGTGTCATTCCCATCAAGTGCTTTGAATGCCTACCAGCAGGCGCTGCAATACCTTGGGTGGCAAGAAGAGCAACGGTTGGGTGCTGCTGAACTCTGCGGCTTTTTGGCAGAGCGGTGGGCAGCGAGGCAGCCTTCGGTACGTGCAACGGTGCAGTTGAAGCAGGTAGGGATGGCGTCACTGTGTGATTGCAAGTCAGTGCTTGCATTGCTTACCTTTGCAATGCCGAAGGGCAATCCTTCCTTAGTGCATCCTTGCCAGCATCTTGAAGGCGTTCCGTTGTTGCTGACCCACGGCGGAGCATTATCCGCATTCAGTGAGGAGAATGTTCGGTTCTCCAGTGACCGCGACCTGATTCCCAATCACCCTGATCTTTTTCTTCATGCCAACGCCGGGAAGATTTTTGCGGCGGTTGCTGGCACAGTCGAGGCACCTGGTATCAGGCAACTTGAATTAGATGACCTGGTGCCATACAAGAAGGAAGTAGAGGCCATGGCTTTTGCAAAGCCATTTTTCCAGGAGAGTCCCTACTTGAAGCACCTTCTGCATTACATGTCCCGCAAATCGGAAACAGAATATTCCTTTCGTACCATGAAGTCTTGGCGCATTCTTCCGGTGTACAGCATCGCGTCGCAGGCCCAGGTGGTTCCTTTGGACCTGGCAAGCCAGACAGTGGCCATAGCAACAGATGCTCAGGCGAAATGCGCACCTGCACTTTTGCAAGCTGGACTTCTTTTGCTGCAGTCCGGCGTTCTGGACTGCGCGAAGCCTCTCTTAATGTCAAAGGTGGTGAGGACTGATAGGGATGTGATCAAGTTGTTGGTTGGAGGCCGAGATCGCTTGACTAATATGACAGAGGAGGATCGACATGAATTGCTTGTCTTCTTCTCCTCTCTTGCAGTCTCAGCAAGGGATCAGCTATCGTTTGCTGATATCAACAAGCTTCCGCTCTTCAAGCTCGCCAATGGAGGCTTCACATGCCTTGATAAGACGGATGTTGACTATTGTTGCCTACATCCAGATGACGCGCATGCTGCCGCTCTAGAACGCTTGATGCCATCGAGCTCAGTGTTGCTGTCCTTCCCAACTGATCCAACGCGGCCAATTTATGACTTCATGAAAGTTCAGGTGTGCAACGGAGAAGACTTCATGGTGAGTTTCATAATCCCACAGTTGCCGAAGCTGTGTCGCAACAGTGACTTCACAGCCAAGCCTTACTTGGACGAGTTGTACAGCTTCGTCGTTAAAGACAGGTCCCAGAGGGTGACGGACGCTGCAAAGGACATGGCCTTCGTGCCAAGTGAAGCTGGCACTTTGAAGACGGCAAGCTCTTTGATTGATCCCGAGCTGCCTGTCGCACAGCTCTTTGCAAGTTGCTTAACGGACAATTTGCCAATCTCCTGGCTCCAGGATGCAGGTTTCTTGAAGCTACTTCGAGTGTTGGGGATGAAGCGGTACATCCCAGCACCTTTGCTGCTCCTGTGCGCTGAAGATTTGCATGAGCGCCGTGCTTCTTGGCTGCACAGGGTGGCCTGACTAGACCGTTTGACCAACGGACTAAGCTCCAGCCTTCAGCAGCGATGCTATTCTAGGTCTATGCCGTGTATGCCACGTTGGCATTCAAGAGCGGCCAGTGTCTGATGTCGTGTTGCTCGAGATAGGCTGTGAAGCAGCAATTTGCACTTGATGTGCTTGGGCTCGAGGATCAGACGATCACGAAGGCTTTGAAAGAGAAGTCCTTTCACCTCGTTGAATCCGTGGCCCATCAGCTCGCCGATGCCTTCTCAAAAAGCAACGTGGGTGAGAGGTCTTCGTTGGTCAAGGCTACAGAGCTGAACATCTTGCTCACATCTTCGATTGCTTCAGATTATCTGGCCAAGGACACTGTCTGCGTTTGGGGGAAATTGCCAGCAGCCTTCTAGGAAATGCGTCAGTTGAATTCAGCATGGGTACTCACTGATGTCTGCGATTTACTGTGTCACACGAAGCGAGAGACACGAGTCGTGTTTGGTCGAGCTCAGCTTCCCTACAGGAAATTGAAGACAGCATGAAATCACCAGGGCCAGCGTTGTGGGAGAGAGGCACCGTGAAGCTTCGCCCATTCCGGCGGACAGCATTACATGAGTCAGTTTGGTTGCTGTGGAGCGTTTGCCCAGTGGCGGTCCACAAAAAGCCGTCGGGAGAAGATCAGGCTCCACAACTAGAGCATCTCATCAAGTCCCACGCTGAAGCCGCTCGCCGTCAACATTGAACACGGTGTGCCGTCACGTCGCATGTTGCCCATGAATGCATACTGTACTGTCGCTACACGTACACATAGTCGTGAGCACCCACTGTGCATCCCGTTGCGAGGAAATGCACTCAGTGCTTGGAGCTTATATCCGGCCCACAGATGTTCCGTTCCCTTCGCTTGCGCAGCACATCTTGAACCTCTGCTCAATGCCGTTTCCCAAGCAAGAAGAGCTCGCCCCAGTCCGCGGAAGCCGGTTTTGCAAAGAGGTGGAGGCATCCTTGGCAGAGGCAAATAGAAGAAATCTGAAGCTTGATGACCAGAAGTGTCTCAACGGCTTCTATGCAGAAAGAGCGCGCTGCGTAAGAATTAGGCAGCGAGATGCGGCAGAGAAGCCCGAGAAAGATTTGATACTTCTGGCAAGCCCCAGGCTGGGTTTGGTTTCGGGGATGGAGGGTCAAGTTTTCGTAGTCGCGCCCCTGTTTGTCCATGATTACTGTCGCCCGGTGCTCAGCCTGACCAGTTCAGCGACTCTTTGCTCAGGAGATGCTTTTTCTTTGAAGGGACGAGCTGCAAAGTGTCTGACTTCCAGGGACACTTGCGCCAAGCCGACACCAAGCACGAAGACTTGTACAGGTGTATGGGAGTGAAGGACAGCCCAGATGCTCATGCATTTGCAGCAGTGACCCATCGAGTGAAAGAGCAGATTCAACACAGCGATCAGATCATCGGAGATGCTATCGAAGTCCTGCATACCTGTGTGGAGGGCTTCCACGCGTGTGTCCAGTCTGGAGACAAGTCATTGGAATGCTTGGAAAGCATCAACTTCTATTTGCCGTACAAGCTTCCAGGCGGACCGTTAAATGGAAAACTGGAGATGGAACGGGCTTCGGAGCTTGTCTCGTGACAAGCGGCTATGTACTTGTTTTCTGTTTTGTCTATTGGCGGCCATGTCGGAATGGTCAAGTAGAATGATGCCTAAGAGGTTTTTGATGAGAGGTCTAGCATAGCGCGGTCTAGGGCTTGGGGCTTGGGGCTTAGGGTTCGGTTCAAGGGTCCGAACGGATGAGGTGTGGATGGACATGGGCTGCTGGAGAGGCCGTTTTGGCAGCTCTGAGGTGCAAGCCCGTTGCTGCTACATTCCTGCAATTGAAGGAGAGCCCTATTCGGGAGTGCACCGGCATCGCGTAAAGGGCGAAGCCAAATACGATGCAGAGTTAGTGGCATGGAAGCTGTCGCCAAGCCAGGTTGACACAAACGGGGGCAGGTCCCAACAATACGGGGCCAGGAAGACCACAAACGGAAGTAGAAAGCACACACTCTGATAAGAGCTGGCCTATCATCTCAAGATGTTTCTACCGTGTCACAATTATCACAAGTTTTTGGATCATCGTCCTGAGCTGATGCCAGAATTGGCTGACGAGCTGCAAGCAACACATCTTGTGGCATGGTGTGTGGACATGTGTATCATAATTCTTGCGACCCCTGAAAGATTGAAAGCACAACTTCATCAGATGTTGGAGTTGACAATGTATCCATATAGTTTTTGTTGCGCGGGGGACATCAAGCCACGTGCAGCGCTGTCTTTATGGATGACACTCTTGACTTCCGTAGCCAAGAACATGAATAACAAAATCGTGAGGTCTGGCTTGACATGGCTCTAGCGCAGATACGCAAAGGCACGGCTTCTGTGCCTCAGCGCGGCCAGGAAAGGACATCAAGGTTGAGATGATGAAGTCGTTATCTTGGGCTGGCTTGCAGCCGGTTTCCGATCTTGTAGCTTGGTCATGTCTGGTTGCTTTTGGTAGCTTCTTGTTTATTGCTGACGTGCATGGCGTCGATCAATCGGCCTCTCTCCGATGTTCCCGCAATCCAGAAGAAAAGGCAGCAAAGTATGCTGAGGCGTTGTTGTGTGAGTCATGTTATAGTGTGACTCTGGGCACGCGAATTTACGCAAGATTCCATCATGTCGATACACGAATCATGCAAAGAAACGGCTGTTTTATTCATCAACTGAAAGCAAGCCCGGCATCGTGGGTCCTAAGTCCTCAAGTTGTGAAAGCGTAAACCTTAGACCCCAAACCCGTAGCCATTTTGGCTCAAGGCTCGAGCTAGCTTCTCTCCTTCCTTTTGTCTACGCCGTGTGTAGCCGACCTTCCCCCCGCTCCTGCGACTACCTGATGGCGGTGCTGCTGGGCTTCTTGGAGGCCGTGATCGGAGCAGCAGGCCAGGGGCGGCATCGGTTACACGATTCTCCGCTGCGACGTCCAGGACCTGCGGACCTTTGTCCTCGCCCTGTGGCTCCTCGACTACCTGATTCACGGCTATTTCTTCTATCGCAGTGTCTGACGTTATAGTGGCGTGTCATGGCTGGGCGCACCTTTGTTGCCGGGCTTCCCCCCGCAGTGCCGGCTCCTCTCCCGCCACTACCAGGGGTGGCCGATGATGACGACGATCTCCAAGACAACGGGGGCGAGCGCGGCAAGCCAAATTCAAAGGAAACAAGCTTCCACAGCGGGGGCAGGGCTCCATCAATGTTGGGGTGCAGACACTTCAGATGCTCCTTGCACAGCAAAGCGCGCAGCTTCTCGAAGCACAGAACGCCAGTCTCAAGCGGGCGCTTGGTGAACTGGAGGGGAACAATGGGAACAACCCGTCGCATCGACACCCTTGCGGATAAGGTGGATGCGGGCAACGCCAGGGCTGAGCAGATGGAGGCCGATCTCAAGGGAGCCAAGGGAGCCGTGGAACGAATTGCTGCCCTGGAACAAGGGGGGCGGTGCTGCAGCCCGGGGCGCCGGGGCCGAGCTTCGTAGAAACAGCACAGTATTTGGTGGCTGGATGGAGGGAACGCGCAAACGTGTGGCATTGGCACAGCTTCAGCAGTGTCTGCATCATCTTGGCCTCGCCAAGCTGTTGGACTCCGAACTCGTTTGCACAGGACCAACGCGTGCAGTTGCCGTCACAAACTGCAGTCTTCGTTCGGGAGAGTCCTCTGCAGGAGATCAACAAAGCTTCCCTTTCCTTGGAAGGCGGCAGGCGACCGCATTGGGCTTCTTTCACTGCTGAGCGAGGACAGGCATTCGTGGCGGGGTTTGTCAAAAAGATTGTCATGAACCACCGCTCTAACAACCTGGCCTTTCAGTTGGACACGGACTACAACCAAGGGAGCGCCTGGCTTGGAGATGCACTGGCATGGGGGCTTCCGCTGCAGGCAGTGGCGCGCAAGCGAAGTCGAGACTCGAGCAGGTCCAGCATGGGTGGACGAACCAGCTATCTCCAAGTTCCTTAAGATCTCCAGGCAGACGGTCGAGGAGGAGGTGGCTCAGCACCGATTCTGACTTCGCGACTCCTCTTGTGAAGGCTTCAATGTGCATGTGTACAGCTGGAATTTAGGAGGCGGGACCCTCAGTGACCTGCCCAAGGTAGCTCGGGAAGCGGTAGGGTGTGACCTCTCATAGGAAGATCTCGTGCTGCTTCAAGAGCTGCCTCGAACTCCTGCTGGCTGGAAGACAAGCCCATTTGGAAAATGGAAGGTCGTTGGGGCTAGGGTTGATAGCCAGTGGCAAGGCACTGGGCTGCTGTACATCACGGATGCTTGGACTCTCATGAGACTCAACTGCAGGCTGACAGAGGCACTTAGTACCGTCTACGACATGTGCAAAAAGGCGGTGGGCTTTGGGTTGGGGCTGTCCACTTGGAGCTTGAGCTTTCCCAGGACGAACATGCAGTTGGGCAAGACTTCCTCAAATCCTTCCGTCCCACGAACCTACCGGTTGTACTTTCAGGTGATTTCAACTCAGAGATTGTCTGGGGCGAAGATGAAGGAGGTTTGCCAGTGGCGCTGGGCCGAAATGGCAAGACCCTCAACATTCTTCACTACCTAGAAAGCAGAGCCTTGCAGGTGGTACCTCCGATTGCGAGCCAGCGATGTACACCAACTATATACCTGCCCCAGACAAGCGGACTGAACAGGCAAACAGGTTGACTTCTTAGCTTCGGCACGGGGGGAAGACTTCTTGGATGCCCATTTTGGTTGGCAGTCACAAAGTGTTGTGTAGAGATCATGATTTGCTGTCTGTGCAGATTTCACTGGTGAAGAGACGAGTGCATAAGAAGACAGACGCTCGCCCTCGTCGGTTAGTCTCTTGGCAAGAGCACCAGGATCCGGAGGACGTCAAAGCTTTCTTTCGCATTGCACGTCCTGGTACGGGTCGGGAAGAGTGGAAAAAGGCCTTCCAAGCCAGGCGCAAGGCGAGGGTGGTATGGCAGCGCCAACAACTGGAGTTGAGTTTTGCGGATGCGCGTTCCGACCCGCGCAAGGCGATCTACAGCCACCTCTGGCCCACCTCCAGGGTATATACGAATCGAAGGAGGTTGTTCCTGAAGTACACCCACAGACCGCTTTCGTCCCTATTTCTATGCAAGAACTTAGATGCGCGGTTCAACTTGGCAAGAATGGGGTGGGTGTCTGCCACGATGGGGTGAGTCAGGAACTCCTGACGGGAGTCATGGCGGGGCAGATGCCCTTCTTGCGTGGTTCAACCGCCTGCTCCGGTTGAGCGAGCTTCGTGAAAACTGGTACAGTGTGGTACAGATCTCTCATGGTCCATGGTTGTGCTTCCTAAGACGGCCCAGCCGGTCCTTGCAACAGAGCTGCGGCCAATTTCTATGTCTTCGGCCATCAGCAAAGCCTTCTGCAGAGTGGTATTGGGGAGAAGTAAGAGATTCCTTCGTCCTTTGGGTGCCTGTCAGTGTGCTGGTCCGACCAAGCAAACTATGTGTTTGCTGCCCACCGCCTCCAATGCCTTGATAGGGAGTGGAAAACCGGTTTCTCTTACCTCAAGGTGGACCTTGAGAAGGCCTTTGACCTTGTCAGAGGGCCTGCTCTCCTTGCCTTCCTTAGAGAGAAGTTTTTTGTGACAGCTTTGAACTCCGGATATGGAAACTTCTTCTTGCCCGATCTTCGGCTTCGCTTGAAACTTCCTGGGGTGTAGCGAGCTGGAGTTAAAGCGAGGTATGCGGCAAGGCTCGGTGGAACAGTGGAAGCTCCTAGGTTCTTGATCTGAGTTGCTGAGCTCACGGTGAAGCTTGCAGCAGAGACGTATGGCTGGAGCAGTGAAGACCCGGCTCTCCATGGATTGATTCTGAGCGAGCTCCTGTTTGTGGATGGTGCGCTCTTCTGGAATTCCTTCCTTCCCCTCCTGGCACAACGGCTCGAACAGTGGTCGTGGAACTGCGGAGGTGTGGGTTGAGAATTAACTTGGCCAAATGCGAATTGTACGTGAGCGCACACAGCAATGTCCCCAGGAGTATCGTGGTGAATGGAGTTACCCTGCATGCCCAACCTCACCTTCGAATCGTGCGTGGTGTCCTTCCGCAGTTTCTTCTCCTTCGAAGAACCAGCCGTTAGCATCCTTCTGCCTCGTGAACTACCCATGGTGAACATGGCTTCGCATCCTTTGGAGACGGCAGTGATGGATGTCGCAGTCCTCGGAGCCGCAGCCCCATCCCCTAATAAGGGCGTTGGGAATGCGACCTCGAGCTCTTCTATACCTCTTTGCCTTCATGTAATTCGACCCTGCAGCACAATGACATTGTGGACGGCGTTACCTCAACCTTCATGAGCACTTTTGATGGGGACCTTGACAGCTGCCCCCCTCGCGGAGGCCTCTCCTTTACAGCGGTGTCTGCTACCACCTGCGCTGAGCCTCAGGAAGCAAAGAATGCTTCGGGCGAGGCGATCGGAGCTCCAGGGACATCGCCTTAGACCTTGGACGCACTCTTCGTGGTGTCGTGTGGGAAACTCGCCTGCGGAACTTGGCTGTTTCGCAAGTGTTACGGACTGAACAACCTCAATGGACCACCGCCAGGCTTCCGTTGTCACCGCCCGGACGAGTCTCCTCCAGATCATGCTTCGATCTGGGCAAAATCCAGTCGCCGGTGGGTCTCTGCGTGGATCACCAAGGTCTACCGACTCGGTGCAGAAGCGTAACTCAAAAAGAAAGGGAACCTCGAGACGGACGTGGTTACGCTGGTTGGGCGAGGGTCCATTCGAGGCAGTGGTCCACATAAAACTACTGGCAGCACGAGGTCGCCCAATCGTGAACCAATTGGGCCGACTGGCCCGCGATCTTATGCCTCTATATGGAGTCCTACGTCTTCCTCAACCTTGGTGGAGATGTACTGCGGAGTGTTCACCCGCCTTGCTCGAACCACCCTGAAACATCCAGGAGGCAGTCGGCGTTCTGTGTGGTATCCTTGGCCTGGAGGAGGTTCATCCTGACCCTCATTCCCAGCCCAATTCTGTCCTGGCGGCAATGCAGAACAATCTCTTGGAGGCCATGACGAAATGGAGGAGGTGATGTTGTCTGCTCGCTCCATATCCGGAGTATGCCGAAGCCTGGACCGAACCCTGCGACCCGATCCCGGAACCCTCCAACGAAACGATCCCGTGCTACCTCGTCTGGCTCTGGCTCGGGGGTTGCTCCCCATCCGGGAGCCTCGGAGCCTCCAAGCAGCAACGCAGTGGAAGACGACGAGTGAAGACGACGATGATGATGACGAGGACTTCGTCCCCGGCAAGCCATCGGGGTCTGAAGACGCTCCGATCATTTATTGCATCTCAGGACGCACTGCAACTAGGTCCAGGTCAACGAACTCCTGAGAGCATGAGTGATGAACTCAGGGAGATTGTTGCCAGGTGGTGGCCCCCTGTGGAACTCAGGTTGCACCTCCTTCAGGGCTGTGCGATGGTTTCGAGGGCTGGTCCTGCACAGGAGGAAGCTACCATGCCGACATCCTCCCTCATCACCTCGAAACTCAGGTGAGGGACCCGTATGAGCACGAAGACAGGGTGGACCAGAGCACATTTGCCCGAACCAGGTGCGCCTGCCCAGTTTGTCGGCATTTTCGACGCCATTGACGGGATTCGCCTCGGTGACCGTACATCTAAGACGCTTCAGGTGTGGACCGTGGCCGAGCTAGCGGTCTCCCCCACAGCGAGTTACTCTCGGATGGTACAGGTGGCGGAGGATCTCAGAGTGAGGAGTCGCGAAGTGTAAGCCGGGGGGAGAGTTCGGAATCCTCCTGAAAACATCGACTCTGAATTAAGACCTCTCTGATGGAACGCTCAGGTCTCCCACTCGCCGCTCCTCGGGGCCGATATCTGGACAAGCTTCGAGCCTTGATTCTGCAACGGCGACTTCCAGGTCACCTACCTGCAGGAGCCTCCCTCTCCACACGCAGCCAATGGAGGATGACATTGCCATGGCACAGGATGCGACTCGTAAGATCTCGCTTTGGTGGCAAGAACATGCAACAACCAGTTGATGTTGGGCAGGAGTCTATCGCTGGGGCCATAGCTCACCAGCTACGAGCACGCATCTCCATTCCACGTGGGAGTGCCCTGATGGATCAATGCTACCGCTCCCTGGTTGATCGCGCACGGGACGTGTGCACTCAATTCGCCAGCAGGTATGACGAAGGAGCTGCGCTATCTGAAGGCTGGCAGGAAACCGTTAACATCCTGGAGATGGGGATACGAGGCGGCTACGGCGCGGCCACGCAACTTCTACCGCTATCAAGCTCAACGAGCGCATAGAATGCATGTCACCCAGCGCCCCAACCAAGGGGGTGAGGGAGAAATGGCTTCTCCTCGGCAAGGAGACGCTGATGCTACTTCGTGGATGCAGATGTTTGCGAAGACTAAGATGGGGACCACGACAAGTACAGGAGCCCTGTCGCAAGTTGCTCATGGGTTGGACCTGCGCCTAGCTCAAACTGAGACCGCAGCGAAGGTGCGGAGAGCCTTTCACCTCCTCCACAAGCTCCGCGCCTTCTACGAAGCACAGCTTGCTCGCCACCTCTTTCCAGAAGCAGCTGAAGGCCTTGAAGCATCGCTGGCTGTTGTCGCATGCCTGCGCGGACGGAGGGACCGGAGGGAATAACACTGTTTCTGAGATGGACAATGCGGACCTACAGTTTGTGGAAGGATGGTGGGGACAGACTGCAGCGCTCCTTCCAGCACCCAGGGGTGCGAGTCTTGCAGCCGTGGATACCCAGGTTGACTCTTCTCAATTGATCTCCGAGTCTGACGAACCACTATACCGAGGTCGCATGCAGAGACGGAGGCGTGGCTGGAGCAGCAGGAACAAGTTCAGCATGATGCGGACGCTCGGAGAATGGAGGAGTGCTGGCATGAAAAAGATGAAGAGGAAGCGCAGAAGGCCGCGGAGGAGCACATGAGAGCCGAATCAATAGCGGCCGCAGCGGCAGCGCAGTCGTGGGATGACTGGGCACTTCGCATTGTGCTGACGGAAAGTGCGTCACAGCACAAGTGACTATTACGGTGACTCCGTCGGGGGCAGAGGATCCAGAGTCCAGAGGTACATGATGTCATGCTGCCGGCGTCGGGGTGGTCGCACATTGGCCTCAGTCTGCCACCTGCGCGGGATGCTCCTTCTTCTTCTACTGCATCCACAGTCCCGGCGACTTCTGCGTGGCCTCCGGGTGCTTTGCTCACGGATGCAGCTTTGGAACCGGTTGTTCTCGATGACTCACTGAATACCATGGGACCGTCGGATTTGGCACTGCCTCGACGAGAACCACACCTACCAGAAAGTGAATCGCGTGAAGGGGCTCAGAGTTTGGGAGAACGGGTGTCGAAGTGAAGGTAGTGAGAAGTGGCGATATGTCGACAACATACCTGTGAGTGTTGTGCGGGGCAGTGGGCTTACAAAGAGGTCACAGCCAAATTCCCAGCAAGAAGTTGCTTTCAGACTCATTGCGAGGAGGAAAAGGGTCGTGCAAAAAAAAACCCTTAACTCCCTTCCCCCGAGTTCATGCCGAGGTTGAAGAAGCTGTTGCAAGCGAAGTGATGCTTTCCGATCCCTTTCCTGGCAGCATACAGGAAACCGGAGGGTGGCAGTGTTAGGGTTTAGGGTTTGTGGTTTGTGTAGGGTTTAGGACTATTCTGGTTGATGTGGTTCAAGAGCGCAGGCTGCAGTCCGAAAGCTCCTTTCGTCTCCGCTGATGCTACCAGCAATGGAGGCCAGTTGCACAAGCATGAAGTGCGTCAGTCTTGTCGCAGAAAATCTCCAGGTCCATCCTCGCGCCAGGATCATTTGAACAGGAATCGATCATTTGATTTCTCTCCTTCCCACCTTTTCAAGCATTGCTTGTGCTCATTTTCCCAGAGACGGTTGGGCACTTTGGTCACTGCTTCCCAAAATTTTGGGATAGACTTTTCCGTCGTCCAACCCGGCCATGTGCTTGCTGTGTCCTGAGAGATGTGCATGGGCAAGTCATCTTTCCAGCATGCGGCTGTTCTGAAGGTCTCTTTGTTGAAGGGTGATCTGGTATTGAAAATCAAAGCGCAAGGAATCGCTCTTGTAGAAAGATGCGCAGCGGTTGCATGCCATGGCCAAACACGCTCTGACTTAGCCTTCTTGACGGTGTGATTGTGCTTGATCCACTGCAGGCAATCTTGCGGGGCAGTTCGCTTGGCGAGGAGGGCATTCCGGACATCCTGACGACATTGGGAAATCATTTCAGCTCCGAGGTCAGATCAGTGTCGAGCCAGATTGAGACTCTGCTACGTTGGAAAGATGGCCAACGCAAAATTGAAGGAAGCGAACAAAAGAAGACTGCGGTCCATTGGTCTGGCCAACTCCTGATCAGTGAAGATGCTTTACACCATCCAGATCAACTTGCGAGCGACTTGTTCGCTGGGCTCTGCCAGATTCCCGGTCTGCTTCCCTGTTTGAGCCTTCCGGAAGTAGAAAGGCCTGTGCAAGGGCTGCTGAAGCTTGTCTCCTCCGAAGGTCCGGAGGGCATTCCTGGGATCCTGAAGGCAAATGGCATCAAGCACGAGCTGGACGTGCAAGTGTATCTTGGCATCGGTGACCGATTGCCGGACTGCCTGTGTGAGAAGCTCATGTATGCGATGAACGTGGCTTTTGAGGCAGGGCAATTGAAGGTTGGGGGTTCTTTTTGGGTATTTTTTCGTGTTTTTTTTGTAATTTTTATGGTTTTCGGTTCGGTGGGTACGCGAGTCAGTCGGTCAGCCAGCCAGCCAGGCAGTCAGTCAGTCAGTCGGTCAGCCAACCGCGCGGTCTGTAAGTCAGCCAGCCAGCCAGTCAGTCAGTCCGTCTGCCAACCACGCGGTCAGTCAGTCAGTCAGTCAGTCAGTCAGTCGGTCGTCCAGCGGGGAGTCGGTCAGCCAGTCAGTCCGTCTGCCAACCGAGCCGTCAATCAGTCTGGCTGTCTGCAATCAGTCTGTCAGTCTGTCAATCCTCTAGTCAGTCGGGCTGTTGATCCTGCGTTGCACCTGCAACCAGTGAGCATGGGGTACCGGAGACTCGGAATCGCCAAAAGAGGGGGCACGTTCAAGATTTTAAGATATATGATGAACCGGAACCGCCGAATCAGGGGGCGTGTTTAAGATAGATGATGAGCGGTTATCACCAAAAGAGGGGGCGTGTTAAAGACATATGTTGACCCCAACCTGAAGCCTAAACCGCTGTAGTTCCTTGCTGAGACCACGACATTGCTCGGTTCTTCATGAACCACACTCCTTTGCCGTCAGAAGCGCTGGACATAACCCCCGGGTGTCACACCCATTGGTTGTAGCAGTTTGTGCCGGTTTCGTCTGTTGTCGGACTTTCTGGCTGATTGAGAGAGTGCTTCAGTGTCACGAGTCTTCGTGCAACCTAGCCCAATGACAAGGAGTCTCATTTTGCAATGAAAATGCTTTGGATGTTCTTACTCTTGGGTGAGATAGGCATTGAATCTTGGGCCGCCTTACAGGACCGCGAATATGTGGTGGCCAATGTGGAGGGCATCTTTCGCATTGGGCGCGTTGCCAAATGGGAGGATGGCCTTGACAACGGCCCATCAATGCAGAGCAGTAGCGTCTTGATGCGGCGCTACCGAGTCCAAGTTTCGCCGAAGGGTCGGCACCAAATCTTGTGCCATGTAGATCTGTACAAGATTTGGAGTGGAGGCTCTGAGATTCCAGACTTCCAGATCCTCGACGGTGATTGGGTGGTCAGCAACCCAGGTGGTCCCGCAAGTGATGGCAGAAGCGGAGTAGGCTGTGATGATGCAGCGACGTTGAAGCAGGTCAAGGGCCAACTTCGCCAGATGGCAAAGATGGACCCCGATAGCTACAAGAAGTATTTGCGCAGATTGTTTTTGACTTGGCATCCGGATAAGTCCGGAAACACGCCCTTCAACAATCTCATTTTCCGGATGTTCCCGGGTATTCGTTTTAAACAGCAGTTTGACCAGTCTTTGTGTGTTCTGTGTGCAAGCGGTGAAACGGTAGGGTCCAGTGCGAAGTCAACCAAGGTCCCCCGATGTTGTCTCCAGATTTTGGTAGTGCAAACGGAAACTTCTTAAGCAACTGAGGCTGAAGATTCATGAAGCTTGGTATCGAGGAGGCGGGGGCGATGATGGTTGGCTGGATGAGTTTGGGAACTCTCAAGAAGGCACTTCCCAAGAAGATCCCCCTGCGGATTCAGAGGCTGAAGCTGCACCACAGGCCAGTGTTTGGAAAAAGGGGTGTAATGCCTTCTGGGCAAGTCTATGGCCGCTTTCGTGTGAAACACAAGGCATGCTCTCCGTTGGCGTAGCATATCATGGCTGGCTCGTATGCACTGTATGTATGTTTCTATCCTAAATCATCACGGCGATGATTGTGCTCTTTAGTTCTATAGATTCGGAACAATGCTTGGATATTGCCATCTCTTCATAGCCTGTATGTTCCACAGCAATGAGTGCGGTCATATGCAAGGAGCCCAAAAGAAAGAGTGGAAAGCGCTTCCACGAGCCATCATCGCAGGCCCCCGATCTGGAAGCATCTTACTTAGCTATGTTTTTTTCAGGCCAGAATCTTTTCCAGCTAGCGGAGGAAGGGTTTAAGATGTTTTGGATGGCCCGTGCTAGGCGTCCTGGTTCCAAGAGTTTGAACGGGACTGGCAGAGCCAACATCAAGCTCGGCGCCCGGGCAAGCCGGCTGCGCCAGTGAAGATCTTTTTCTGCCCTGAGCCGCAGAGGTGGACCTCGCCAAGGCCTTTGAGTCATAAACCCTGCCGATCTAGCAGATACGTTACAGATAAGGCCTTTGGGTCAGTTAACTTGCGTTCGGAACGTTTTCGTAGATCAATTTCAAGCCTCCTCGCACGTTCGCTACTATTGTTCTTCTTTCTCCACAGCTGCAATGAAAACCCGGGAGTTGAGTCTTGGCCCTCGGAGGACGGTGAACGAAGTGGCGGCATCAACTTGGCTTTCCCAAGCAGAGTATGATCTTCAGGTCATGCAGCACCTCAAGGACGCTTCAGATTCGATGGGGCCCCCATTCTCATCGGCCACAATCTTTCAGGCATCTCAGGTGGTGGAGAAGGCACTGAAATCGGCCATGCTACACACCTGCGGTTTGGCAAAGGAAGAGTTTACTGGTCAGGAGGCCCACAAGCTGGTTCTGTTGCATCAGAAGCTGAAGGAAGCTGGCGCTGAGACGGGTCCCCAACGGCAAGCCCAGGAAGAATTGCCTGGGACAGCTTCTGACATGAAGTGGCTGCAGGATGCCTACTTGGCCAGCCGATACCCTAATGCAAGTGGAGGTCAGATCCCTGCTCTTGTATATGACGTTGGAGATGCTGAAAGAGCCGGCCAGCTCGCTGAGCAAGTGGTTCACTGGGCCAAAACCTTGGAAGATTTGCCGGAGCCAAGACAGAACCGCCCTTGTTCGACAGCGGTGCCGCCGCCCAGAGTTGCCCCTATTGCTCCCGCCCCACCTCCCGGTCCAGTCATCTCCACACCTCCCAGAGCCCCCTCAGTGCCAAAGGCACTGAGCAACCGGGAACCTATGACAGCTCCTCCCGCGGCTCCTCCTCTCACGGCCAACCCCAGAAAGAGGAAGTTGGGGGACACTCCAAGGATGTTGGAGCAAAGTTAAGTTCAGCAGGGTAGCAGTGGCACAAGGCCCTGAAGCTGTTCGTAAGAGACTGTCAAGGCACTTTGAAGCTTGGCAAAAGAACATATTTTGATGATCGCAGGGCCGCAGGGTTTCCACAAGTGCCCAAAGGACTTGGCACCTGCTGCCGCTGGGTTACCAGGCACAAATGAGGACTAATTTCCCCCCCATAATTGTGATTGTGAACTAAGTCGTCGACTGCACCTGCCAGGCAGAGCATGGCCGAGGAGACTCCTTCGGTTTCTTTCACGTCCTTGGGCTTGGATGGGATTTAGCTGTTGCTGCTTTGGGTTGTATGGATCCGCCTTGGAAAGAGTACCTCTCAAGCTCCGTCACCGGCTTCCACCAAGCCAAGGCGTTGTGGCAGATCTCTTTGCGGACCCTTCACCGCTGTCTCAGGCCTGACGAGCGGAGCATCCTAATTGGCCGGCACAAGTCCTTGGGCGTGGGCAGAATCGCTTCTTTTTGGAGGGCCAAGAGAGACTCAGGACCCCCAGAAAGAAAGCCGAGCCAAGCCAAGCCGCGTCCATGGCCTGGCCAGTTGAGCCTGTCGTCCAACTGATGTGGCTTCTCTGCTCACAGCTCTTGTTATCATTGTTGCATATTGTTGCCGTGAACCTTCTTCTTGCTATTGTCATCGTTTGTTGTCATCATCGTTTCCGTTGCTGATGCTGTGACTGGTGTTGTGAATTTAGGATTTTGGCTGACTCGCATGCCAGGCGACATCCATATTCCAAAGCAGGTGGCCACTGACCTTATCGCCGGACTTTTGCAGCCTCTTACCTGGTGAAAGAAGTCAGGCACATTCCTTTTGTCAGCTCGCAAACTTCACCCCGTGATGCCTCTGCTGCCCGGCTTGGTACAGCATTCACTTTGCCTTGTATGGCCAGCCATTTGGTGTCACATTCTGCAGCAAACCTGCTAGTGAGTTGTAGAGCCCATATGCTTTCAGGTTGCAGACCCAATCGCTGTCTCCCCGGCCCTTGGCGAGCCATGAATCAGACCGCGTAGGCAGGAGTCGACGCTTGAGCAGAACCGCGGGGGTGTTTGTGTCGACAAAGTGGATAAAACCATGAGAGGACGCAGGCTCCCGAGGTTCAGACAGCAGCTTGCAAGTTCAGCTTCTGCCTTTGCAGGCAATGAGACAAAGACCGCAGGCGAAACGCGGAGGGATGCGGGTTGAGCCGGGATATGCTTGCGTCGGCAGCGTGCAGACATGCGTCATGACACTTGATACTGCTGCCATGCAGGGGGGACGGTTCGGTTGTTCGAGTCGCAAGAGTACTCGGACCAACGACGTCCTGATAAACAGGACCGCGCTAGTCGCACATCTATGTGAGACATCCCAAGTGTCAGCGTGTGGGTTCCTGCGTCGGGTTCCGCCCTGACCCTCACGACCTCATCCTCACGAGACGAGATTGTCTGCATCAGGTTTCGGCCTTAAAGGTGAGAACTGCAGTGCTGACATACCGCAGTTCCCGGATCGACGTGTTCAAATCACCCTCGAAGCATGCCTTTGCCGCAGGAAACTGCAAACCAGCAGATCCATACATTCACACATACATATACATAATTACCTATACATACGTATACACACATACCTACACACATATGCCTGGGGCTACACATAGATACAGGCAGCCCGTACATGGACTTGCCACTTGTGGCAACCCAGAACCGGCAGGAATGAACTGGGCCAAGACTGGAAACAGCAATGTCCACTACGTGGCTTGGAGCTCATGTTTCCAATTGATATCGCCTGGCTGAGAACACCCAGAGTTGCCGGTCAGTTGTGCAGCATTTTGCACGGCAGCAAAGGCCAACCAGACCTCCCAGGGAGACCGGATACCCGTCGAGGAGCTGGATGACGAAGAGCGCCCCGAAGTTCAGAGTTAGACGAAAAGCGAAGCCGCGTCTCCAAGGAGTCGAGACTTGATTCTGTTGCAGTACTCGTAGCTCCCGCGCTGTCAGGTACAACCAACTCTTCGATGAAAAGGCATGCATCTATGATGAGTCCAGGAGCCACTCGTGTCAGTTCAGGTTTATGCTTCGGTTTCCGCAGCATGCCATGCCATGCGAAGGAACCGCTGGGACAAGGGCTGGTCCAACAACTGCTGGAGGTTTTGGTGCTGGCCGCGCTGGCCGGGGGTGGAAGGGATTAAAGCGATTGAAGCGCTACGCGGGGCTGCAATGTCTCCCCAGCGGCCCCGGCGCAGTGCGGCTGATTCTGATGTCGTGCAAAAGCCGTGTACTGGAACCATGTGAAGTGACGGCGGGAGACCCTTTCACTTATGACAGTAACGAGGCTACGCTATCTACTTCGTGCGTTTTGCTAACACCCATCATGTCGTGCGTGATGCGCGGGCGCCAGCACGTTCAAAGAAAGACAAGCCTGACACACGATTGAGTTTGGCTGATATGGATCATGTGGAGACACGAGGCGTGAACCTACAGTAGCACTTGTATATTGTAGGGCTTAACCGCGTATGACAGTCCACTGCAGGGTATGACGTGGCAAGCACATGCGCTAGAATCAATGACTGCTAGGCCATTGATGGGCATGCGGCTGGCCTCGCCATGGCTCGCCCGGCGGGCCCATGCCGTGGTTGTTCTGTCAACTTTCATGCTCGGTGAGACGACCTTGTCTGGCAACTGCCAAATCGAGCTTCCGTACACGATGCGAGCATCGGAGAAGAGCACCTGCCACGCAGCTCTATCATCTGTCCAAGCTGCTATCACGGCAACAGCGGTTTTTGCGCAGATCCAAACGAACTACACGTTCATCAACACCTTGAAAGACTCGCTGAAGGAGCCAGAGCTCGTTTTGCCGTTGCCTAAGGCGGCTATTCTTCAGGGTTTTGCAGTGCATGGGCATGGGAACGGTTTGACCGGCGACGTCGTGCTGAAGTCGGACGTTATTCTGCCCGCAAAGTGTCCGAGCGGAGACAGTTTCAGCTTCTACCAAGCAGCCCTCCAAGGCTCTAGATACAGGGTGCCGTTGGCATCACACATACAGTCCATGGAACCTGGTGCAACGGTCGTTCTTCAGATCGACTACGTCATGCAGTTAAAAACAAAGCAGAAGCCGGGCTTCGGCCACGCGTTTGCATTGCAAGTCCCTCTGCCACCTGGTACGAACAAGGACACCCGGTCACTGTCAGGCCCTGCAGTCTCTATCGAAGTCCTTGGGGAAAGCCTGGAGCTTGAAGTGGATGTGGCCGCCACCACGCCTGGTGTAGTGGTAAAGCGGTGTCCGACAGGAATTTCGAACTGTCATATGGTGGAGTCACCTGTTCTGCAAGATGTGGCTCTGGAGATTGCCATGCCCACGCGAGGGCAAACTCAGGCAAACCTACACAGTCCTTTGTCGCCTTTTCTCACCCTGCAGAAGCACCCTGCCACTGGCCAGGTTGCTGCAGCGCTGTGGCTGCCACCGGCTCTGGATCTAGGCGAGGGTTCAATGTTTGAGGTGTTCATGGTGGTGGATGCGTCTGCGACCATGCATGGGCCACGCTTGGGGCGAGTACAGCAGGCACTGCGTGCTTTGCTGCGCAGTTTGCCACGTGGCATACGGATGAACATCATCGGGCACGATGCGAAGAAGCCCTTGGAGCCAATGTTCCAAGAGAGCCAGGAGGTAGATGAGAAGATTTTCCAGGAGGTCGACCAACACCTGGCTCGGGAACCGGCAACCTCTGCCGCTCTGTCCGCCTCTGGTCCGCAATCGGTCGAGGCTGTGCTTGGCGCGATTTTCGACTCTGCGCGCCCTGCATCCACACAGCTTCGGGTGCTTCTCATCACGGACCGGCATCCCCCAGATTCGAAAAAAGCGATTCAGCTTGTGGAGGAGAGCTGCTCCGAGGACTGCCGGCTTTTCTCGACGGGCCTTGGATGGAGCGCTTCGCCGATGTTTGTTGAGGATGTCGCGAAGGAGCCCTGGCAGAACTTCGGCCACATCGGTTCCTTCACACCTTCCTTTGCGACACGTGTTGATAGTGTGCAAGGATGCGGCTCATGTACGAATCTATATATGTCTTTCTCTTCTCGTTTGTATGTGTCTGTGTCTGTCTGTGTGTGTGTGTGTGTGTGTGTGTGCGCGCGCGTGTGTGTGTGTGGGTCAAATGAGGCGGGTGGAGGCAGCTTCTCTTACGTTGCGGAGCGCGATTTCAAGCTCGGTTTGGAAAAGGCGCTGCTTTCTCATCTGCTGGATGGCTTGGTGCCTGTCATCCGAGCTGTCAACGTGAGTTGGGGGTCCCTGCTGGGTACCAGCTTGCAGTTGAGTCTGGACTTGAGTGAGATGGATTTCAACAGCCGGCTTTTGTCCATCGCTCTGATAAACCCCTCGATCGATGAACCTGACTTAGACCTGAGCAAGCTGAAGCAGCTGGACATCCAAGCGGTTGTGGGAGGAGTTCATAGATCAATGGCAGCACTTCAGCTCGGTATGTCAACGTCAACGGCCCTGCATGCGGCTGGAGTTTCGCTTTATGCCGAAGATACTCGTGAGAGTCCCCAGACCTTGCCCGAAAACGTGCAAGACGCTGCGGTTACCCACCGAGTGGCGACCAGTGCGACACAGTGGGTCTTCAAGCCTTCCCAAGCGCAACAGGCGGTGCTTTGCGAGGGTTTGCCCAGCTCCACAGTGGCTTCAGCTTCCGCATCAGACACCTCGAGCCAGCGGGGCACTGTCCCATCGGACAAGGACAGACAAGAAAGCATCCATCACAACCTGCTTTCTACCAGAGAGCGGCAGCAAGCCCCTCTCAAGCAATTGGGCGAGAAGCTCTCCGCATTAGATTTCGGAAGATTTGCGCTCAGTCTTTCGTTGAAGGACGACGCTGTCAACCAGAGATACAAGCCTTCGGGGAAGGACTCTGAAAAGCCCTCGGAGCGAATGGATGACTGGTTCAGGCCACGAGCCTCGATGTTCTCAGTGCGCGGATTCTCGCGTGCCGGTTCTGCTTTGTCCCTTCTGCCTGGGGGTTCAGTTAGCAGTTATCCCACTGGAAACAAACACGCTTCGAGCACTTGGCCTGGGGATGTCTCTGATGAGACCTGGCCATTCCGTCATGGCAGGGACAAAGACTTCTTAGCAGGGCCAGGGCACGACGTGGAAAGAGGCTCCAAGAAGGGTGCGGCAAGCTCCGGGCCAGAGCTTGTGACCCGCAACACGCCGTCGGGCCGTGCGAAGAAGGCTGCAGGTGTCGTCTCACGCCTTTCTGTCCTGGACTTTTCATTGCTTGGACAGCGGCTGTCTCTGCAGGGATCGGAGGGCTCGCGAGCACAAAGGAGTTTTCACTCGCGCTTAGAGTCGCTCTCGCTGTTTGACTCCATGATGGCGGGTTCAGGAGGTACCGCAGCGTCCACTGGACGCAAGGATGCCTTCAAGAGCAGAAGCCAGGCACTGTCACTCCGAAGCCATATCGCAATCTCCGAAATCGGAGCATCCCCATCAAAGCATTTGCCTTCGTGGGCAAAGCTTTCTGCAACAGGCGTCTTCACTTTGGCATCCCAGCTGTCCATCCGGAGACCGGAGAAGATCTTTGGTAGAAGCAGAGGGTTCGGGAACCCATCTTACGCCAGCTTCGCAGACTTGTCGGGGCAAGACTCAGGGGGGCAAGCCGGGCAAGCTGCAAATGAAAGGGGAGACGAGGCCGGTGGGCAGTGGGGGCAGTTCCTTTCGGACTCTTCCTTGCCAGCTGGAGCAGCTGAGAAGGAGGCCGAACAGCCCTCGGCACTGCCGGCACTGCATGGATGGATTAGCATCGAAGTCGCAGGTGGCATCCTGCAAGGAGTCTGCCCGGTGAGATATGCAAGTGAGGCATGCTCTGATGAATCTGAGCAGGTCGCAATCCATTGGAGACCAGGGCGAAATGCCAGCAGCCAGATGGCGCAGGTTTATCTGACAACCGCGCCGCTGACATCCAGCAGCCAAGCCGTTCGCCTCGGTGAGGCGTCTTTTCCGAGTGCGTCGGAGTCTTCGGAGATCTTGATTGGAGTCCAGGTCTCCAAGACCTGTGAACTCACTGTCCGAAGCGTGCAGGCAGGCAAGCACCTCGACAAGCTGATGACTGCGAATTTGGTCGCTGCTGCACCACAACAGTTCCAGGGAGCACCCCTGCAAAGCCCTCAGCCACTCGAGCTGACTAGTTCGATTGGAGAGGCCTTGGTAAACCGACTGGGGGCTGTGCGACGAGGCTTTCCGACTATGATACGGAGCGTAGCGAAAGCAAAGGCAGATCATGCATCGTACGGTGCAGCAGGCTCTGCTGCAGAGCTGGCAGCTTGCCATGCTTTCCTTTTTGCACAAAGCTTCCAAGGATACTTTGCGCTAGAACAGGCTGCTCTGCAGACGATAGGGCTGAGTTGGGATCACCTCCAGCTGCTGGCATCTTCATGGACAAGTAGCACGCCAGACGGGGCGAAGGTTGCACACACAACCTTCGCTCTGAATGTGCTAACGGAGTCTTTCCAAGAGATGCAGGCCTCATGGTATCTGGCTGCTAACCGTGCTGAAGCTTGGCTCAAGCAGCAAGTGGCAGGCCTTTCCTTGCCAGGCTGCCGAAATCTAGTTTCTTGCTTCGAGACGGCCAGGATATTTGCGGTCAGAGAACGCCAGGAAAAAGAGCCAGGAGCTTTGCCGCAGGTGCCTGATGCCTTCCTTGCATTCAGAGAGTAGCATGGGCTTGAAATCAAGATTCCAGCTTACACTTTCCCCGCTTGCGGTCAAGCGTGAAAGAGTATTTCGGCGCATTACTTGTAGGTGAGAGTCGCTGCATAGAAGACAGCTTTTGCTTGACTGCATGCCGGCTCGTCCTTGCAGCATTTGGGAGGTTTGCTTGCAGCTTCGGCTCAGCCTCAGTTGTTGCTGTTGTAGCCCTGACCTTGCACGATGGCCCGTCGAAGCCCCGCAGCCGTGCTCGTTGTCTTGAGCATCTCGGCGCTTGTCTCCCGAAGTTAACAGCGTGAGCTCTAGTCAAGCGGGAGCATCGGTGCCCTTGGCAAGGCAGCTTGGCGGCCTACTGCAGCCTTGCGGGATATGGCTCTCAGACTTTCGCAGGGCTCCAGTCTGATCGTAGCCCGCGTGATGAAAGCGCCATCGCAATGGGCGACAAGGTGGTTCTGCGAATGCATGCTAGACCAACTGCATGCACTTGCCATGACATGCTTGTGCGGCTTTCCCGTTGGTCGAGCAACGCCAGATCACGCGAGCAGCCGGCAAAACGCGACGTGGCAAGTGGCAGAGGCAGGTCTGTACTTCACATCAGTACAGAACAAGCGGTATGAGCAAGCCAGGTGGAGACCCATCGGACATATATCACCCGGTAGGTTTTTCAAGCAAAGACACCCTTTGCAAAGGCAGAATGTCAACACGGTAGAGATCGAGGGCAAAGAGATGTCGCAGATGTGTCTTGGACAACAGCTGAGTGGAACGAAAGGAGAAGATGAAGGGAGAAACCGTTGGCAGGGAGCTCTCTTTTGAGGGTCAGATGCACATGAGGGAATATCTTTTTTGCAGTCAGGCAAAGTCGAGGCCAAGAGCTGCGTGTTCTGTTGCAGCATTGTAGCCTGCATAAAACGCTTCCCACCATAAACCAGGGTGAGTGCTCTCGGCAATGGCAATATCTTATCAGATGGGGTGATTCCCAATCCGCCGGTCTGCGTCAAGGCCATGGCATCACAACTTGAACTGCTCGCAGTGTCAGGGCTTCTTTGATGAGGACCGCACAGCGCAGATACCACAGCCTGTTCTCCCTCAAGCACAATCGCCGCAGTTCCGCTTGAACGCAACGCAGTCCCACGTGAACAGTACATGAGCAAAAACCAAACATACTTCACCAGCGCGTGCTTGCGTGAGCGAACAGCATTGAGCATGGTACCTGAATGTCGGACATGGTTGCACCGACGAACGTGTTTCGAAGTACCATCTGCACTCAAGCTTCTGAGCTCGCAGAAGGATGCAGAGCAAACGACGGCAGTGGCCAGAGTCGCTGATGTGACGCTGACGGGTTGGTCGGGGGCACCACTTTCGGGCGTTGAGTGCACCAACGTGTATGGCCGAGCACCCTGCTCAGAACGCTAAAGTACTACATTCGCCTCGCAACCCAAGTAGTTCGAAGACAGAACTGCCCTGGATTTGAAGTGAACTGAGCGGAGCCGCCGCCTGAAGCATTTCTGTCGCTGAGGTTCGAGACCTTCCTTTCGCCCGAGGAAGCAGACACGCCGTTCGACGTTAGGCAAGCCACCTCGGAGACTGTCTCGGCGACTTGCCACAAGACCTGACGACCTAGCGCAGTTTGTAGAAGGCGAAAGGCTTGCATCTTTACCTCATACGAGGTGAAGTTCGACAAGAGGCCCTATGGCATTGTGCGATGGCAGCCCGGGAAGGACGCAGCGTTTTGCATTTGACCGTGCGGGGACTGGAACGCATTGACCCTTCGTGTCGAGTCCGAACTTCCCCCTCCATTCCCGGTTCGCTCCACGTCTTGATCAGCTCTGCAGCCGGGGCCAAAGTCTTGCTCTCGCAACAGGACTTCAAGGGCGCGATGGCCCAAAGCTCAGAGACAGCGCTTACGGCTTACCGCTTCAGCCTTGGAGCACAGGTGAAGGATGTTGCGCACGGCGTTTTCGTCGGAGATCCCTTGGGACAAGCCAGAGCCAAAGGCATCAAGCCAGGTATGGTCGCCTCTAAGATGCATCCGAGACATCCAACATGCCAACCTTGGAGTAAAGAGGGAGCACCTGCGGGAAAGAACGGAACGCAATATGATCCACACACATCTGACAGATGCTTGTGGAAAGGTCATGTCAATCCATGGCATAGATTCAGATACTCGAGGCTGCAGTCCGCAATCGAAATTAGTCCAGGTGAAGAGCATCGCGGGCCAGGACGTCATGAACGAGGTAGGCGGCGGGCCCCAAGCCCAAGTCGTTTCTCGAGTCTTCGAAAATGCCAGCTTCCGACCAGGAGTTCGACGTCATCATGAAGAAGCTTGGGGATGAAGCCCTTGGCTACAACATGTTCGGTGTGAAGTTTCCCTTGGAAGTGACTTTCGCAAATATGCCTTCGTCTGGATGAGAGCTGAGCCCCTCCGCGACTGCGACAAAGAGCGATCAAACGAAGGGTTTTCAAATGGGGAATGTTGCAGCTGACGGTGTTATACTTTCGCGGATGTCCTGAACAACATGCGGCCCTACTGCCTTGGCTCCAAGTAATTCGAGCTATGCAGTGTTTCCATGAAGAGTGTATTGGGGGCCTAGTCGGGACGTCGGTTGCTGCAATTGAAGTTGGGATGAGGCAAAAGCTTTGCATGTAGCTGCAGCGGCGCGGAGTGCGGATATCCGTGGACTCGTGCCATGCCCATTCTGCCAGAAGACCAAATCAGCTGGGGTGGGGTGCTGCTGCCGCGGATTGAAACTCTGGACCCCAGGATCCGTGGTGTCGGGAGCCAAGGAGCAGATTGCATCGAAGCTACGCTGTCTGGCAGTTTACATGAGAGGGATCTGTGTGTATCATGCACTTTGAGAGCCAGGCAAAGCATCTTCAAGCCTTGAACCTGCTTAAGCCTTCCGGGCATCGGGTAGGCCCTGGAAAGCCGAAGGCTCCGTGCTTCGGAGTTCGGGCGTGAGGGGGTCGAAGGGGGGGGGCGAGATGTGGAAATCGTTCAATCCTCCAGACAGTTGTCTGTGTAGTCCCCATGCCAGTTGTTATCAGATTTTACCATTTCTTGTCCTTGTCCTGCTATTGTCCTGTTCTTGTCAGTTTCAATTCTTGTGGGGACGTTTCAAGGGGTCGGAGGGGTCCAGGGGTGGGATTTTGGGGGAACTCTTGAATCATGGCAATCCTGGAGACAGTTGTCATCTCCTTGTCATTCCCTTACATTTGCCTTGCAATTTCTTGCACTTGTCTTGTTTCTTCTCATCTGTTTTGGTCAGGGGCGGGTTGAAGGGCGTCCACCTGGGCGGAGGCAACACCCTGAAAAACACGAGCCCATATGCACACCTCGAGACTCGGTTGTTTGTAATCTTATTGTCGTTTTTCGGTCCTTTTGCAGAAGAGCAATGACAACCCTAAGTGAGAACCTCGATCTGTGTGTTATGGGGCTAGGGCTAAGGGAATCTGCGCATGCAAGAACCCAGGTAGCTCTCGAGCGATATTATCTGCCTAAGTTGGTGGAGAATGGTGCGTTTGAGCCTGAGCAATTGCCCAGCCTCGAGCAATTTCAGGCAGCGTCACATCTCGATTTCCAGGGCTCACCCAGTCATCGACAGAGTGATCCAAGCTGCGCAAGTTCCACGAGATCGGCGGTCGCACCGTTCAAAGCCCGGGATCTCAGCTGCCACTCTGATTGCTGTGGTTCCGCATATTTCCGCATTGCTTGTCCACGCTCACATGTCACATCTCGTCAGTATCCTCGGCACTGCAACTTTGGCTCAAGTTGTGGGATGCAGGGCACTTAGATCCGCTCTCCTTGCAGCCCGCATCACACAGAATTCGCTCAATTGGGTAGGGTGACTGATGGCCATTGGTCACGTGCCGGTACAAGTCATGTGCGATGTCATGGACGGCTTCAAGCTCCATGTGGAGGATGTCGATGGAGTTGGCGTCCCCAAGATGTCGATGGCATTCTCCATGAAGATGAGCTTCCCCGTCCACGACCTTCTCAAGACCCTGGTCTCATGGCAGGAGCATGAGGCTGGCCACATTCAGGAGGAGCCTTCACCGCAGAGGGCAGTAGTCGACGAAGAAAATCGCCGACGTGCAAAGGAAGCCTGCAAAGCAGCCGAGAATCCATCGCCACCACTCCTGAATGCTCCATCCTATCCTGAGTACAAGGCCCAGAACAGCTGGGAGCAAATCTCTTGCCCGAACGTCGTTTTGCTCAGTGACGAGCTCGGGTACAGAGAAGCTACATTCGCTGCTCTGCGGCTGAATGATCGCGTGCCCATGACCTATGCGAAGTTCAAGGAAGCAAAAAACAAGCCCGGCGCGGACTTGGCTCCTGGCTTCTCGGGGCAGAAGGGGCCACAAAATCCGCAGACGAAGGTGCCACCAGCGACGCCAGCGAGTGCGAGCCATGTCGAAAAAGCACCTCCCCTTGGCTGGAGAACTCCGCCAGCCGCAGTCAAGCCAGTTCCACCAGTGTCCGTTCAGCACAAGCCGCCGCCTCCGAGCAAGGCGTCCACAAAGATCTGAAGTTCTGAGGCTGCATGGCTGAAGCTGAGCATGCGCTTGGAGTCGACCAGCTGGTTTTCGACATGTGGGGACAGTCCCAAGACAGAAGAGCAATGACCATATGACCGGCTCAAAATTCCGAGCGCTGCTGTACTGTGCGCTGCAATGTGCCTGCATCTTGCCTTAGCTCAATGCAAATGCGCACTCAACATGCTGGAAGCGATTTGGAACGAGAGCATGCTTTCGACGAGTGCCGTGATATGTCAGTTTGAGATAGATTTCATCGGATGTATCCTGTGTCTGAGGCACCGGCCGGGTGGCATCAGTCACGCATCCTCGCTGCCCTCAATCCCCAGGGTCTCTTGGAGACAGCTTTAAACATCCGATACAGATTCGCGGAACGGGATTTTAAGTCTTGCTGAGAGAAAGAACAAGCCAGCCTCGGTCTATAGGATGTTTTTCAGGGAGGCACAGTCGAAGTGTTTTAGTGCTCTTTCCATTTTTCAAATCATTTGCGAACAGTTGTTCCACTTGGGCTGTGCAGGCGCCCTCGGCAGCCCACGCGTCGATGTCAGCCTCGCGCTCTGCATCCTCGCGTCAGATGGTGGAAGTCTTACTTTTTCTCACGGATTCACCGCACAAAATCTGGTAGGCAGTCCTTGTATGGCATTGCATGGCATTGCATGTCATGGAGTTGCTTGACTTTGCCACTGCACTTTTGCAATACGGGGATTCTGGCGCTATTGCATGCCACCTCTCCACAGTACAGACGCGACTGTCAGCCCAGGTCGGGCACAGGCAGAGCGTAAAACCGCGACCTGTCCGCAGGATCATGCTCGGAACTGTGTTGTCTAGCTGTGCAGGTTCGGTTCCGGATATCTCTAGTTACGTTGTGCTGAGGGTGCGCAGTGTGCGCTGGACCACTGGAGTGCGCAGGGCTGTTGCGAACCGAGAGCCTCGCGTTGGGTCCCGAGGCCGATGGCCACCGCCCGAGGCCGTCGTCATTTTGCAGACGGCGGAGTGAAAGAGGGTGTGTCGCAGAGCGTCTGGGATGTGATTTTCGTTCATGTTCGCAAAGCCCACCCCTGTCCTGCCACGAGGCGCCGTGTATCAGGAGCCGTACATCGCCGGCCCTCGGGTCCAATGGGGTCCTGTGGCGCAGCTCTTCGCAAGAGCCGCCCCACCTGTCCGGTAAGCTCTCTGTGAGGCAAGATGGGTTACTGCCGGATTGGGAAGCTGCACTTCGGACTTCAGCTTATGAGCAAGCTGTGATTCAGGCCGAAGCCGGGACTGCCGAAGCTGGCACTCTTGAGCAAAGCCTATCCATGGCCTGGCGGATGACAGCTCGCTCTGTCTCGGAAGCCGACAACGGCTGTAGCAGGAGCAGACAACAGCATAGCCGGCGAAGACAGCAAAGCGAACTAAGCCCGCAATACTGCACAGACATGTCACTGCCAATGCGTTCTGCCACGTCTGGAGCACAAGCAACAATGCTTTGCCTTGGACGATGTCCGTCCGCATACGGTGTTGTACTTTCGTTATGGTGTCGTCGTGTTGTCCACATGAAGCCTTGAGTGGACATGGTAGATAGGGGGTCGTTGATGTCGCGATTTCCTTGAAGGGAGACGTGGCATCCACGGCGAGAATGTCGGCCCTGCGCCTGCAGCAAGTTTCCTCAGCAGTTGCAGTCCCCACAGTTACGTAGTTCATGTATTCCCACTGACAGGACCCGAGTGGAACTTCACAGTGCAGGTGTTGCCTTTGCAAAGCAAGGGATTTTCACCAGAGCACGGCAGCGAAAAACGCGCCACCTTGGTCTAGTGGTGAGCCTGAGACGGGGTTCTTCGAGCTGGTTTGTCTCGTCGTACTGTGTGGCAATCTGAGGGCATGAGGGCACAGGACCCAGAGTCGGTTGTAGCAGCCGTGCCCATTTTAACGCGGAGCCGTCACAAGACAATGGTCTCAGCAGTCTGCCTGACGCGGACGAGGACGTCGATGTCGTGTTTATTGTTCGTAGGCCCTGGGCCGGATCTTCGAAGTGGCAGGACTTTCCCAGCGCTTTGCGCTTGCTGCTTGTGCCTGGGAGCAGTGAATAGTGGCCTTCCTGCAGAAGATAAGGGCAGTGTAGCCGAGCAGCTCGCCAACATCCGTCATTTGTCAGGCATGTCTAGAGCCTGGGTGACGTGCTCCCCGGCTGCAATACCGAAGGCGGAGAAGTCACGAGAGCTGCCGACAGAAGCCTTGCTTCAATCTCCACCGAAACCGTCGAGGTCCCAGGCGGGATGCGGCGCTCGGCTACTATACTGCTGCGCTGAAGGGCGCGGCCAGAGTGGCTTGGCCAAGAACGGAAGGTGGCTTCCCACGTTCTTTTCGACGCGAGAGAAACGCCCCTTGCAAACCGAGCGTAGGCAGCTCCGGAAGCTCAACCCAAGCTTTTGATGTGCCTTGCGATGCTAGTGAGCTGGTACTGGTCAACAGAGGTCGCAGTAGGTTGCTGAGAGCCCTTTGCAGAGATCTGCGGCGGTGCGGGGTCAGTGAGGGGTTCTGTGACGCATCGTGGCGCTTTCTTGCTCGGGTCTTTTCCACAATGCTCAAAAGGTGGCAAGCTCCGACTTTGACTCTCAGAGCTCCAGCTTCCGGCGGCTAGCGAGGCCGGCAGAAGTGAAACGGGAGCTCGTCCGAGAACGCCTGGCACCGGACCTGAGGCTCCATTTCCGTGCTGTGGAGCTTCGACGCCAGAAGAAGTGGGATGGAGCGTCGAACGTGTACCGCGCGGCGGGCTGCATGCCATTCCTCGTACTGTAGCTATCAGCGCCGCTGCTGCTGTGTTGTGCACCCCGTCAGGCAATTGGATTATATAGAACCATGCCGCCAGCGTGGCTGCCTGAAAACTAGCCGAGCATACAAAGTACTGTAGCGACGATGTCAGAGCTGAGCCGTGAGAGAACCGTCTTTCGGAGCCCCTCGTGAGCAATCGAGGAAGGAGGTGCCTTCCTTCGCTGCTGCTGCATGCACCTGGCCTTTTGGTCTGAAATTTGCTGTCAGCTGCGTTGGACGAGGTACTCTGATGTGCCCGCATACAAGGCATTGTTGCCAGCACGTTTTCGTCAATGCTAAGGCTGAATTTAGCATTGACAGAAAAGAACAACGGTCACTTCGACGCTGCCCGACGTGTCTTTCAAGATGGCACGCGATTTGAACCTTGCTCGCATGTCTTCGGTGCTGCCACCATCGAGGCTGAGGGTCAGCCAGTGGAGTTGATTTCAGGTCCAAGAACAAATGCAGAAGGAGCTCGATGTGCGTATTGATGGCCAGCACAGAGTACGCTCCGGGACGCAAGTTCAAGCGTCCAGAAGCTTGGTTGATGCTATGCACATAGATCCAGCAAAGGAGGTTCTGCACCAGTTCAGTCCGAACTTCCTGGAGCTTGACTCGAGCTGAGGCCGTGATATCCAGGTGGCCTGCAAATGGCTTGCCACTTTGCTGGTGTGCCCGCCGCACTGTATCGGGGTGCATGTCTTTGCATGAACCATGCTGCTGCACTTCCAAGCCTACCGAGCGTGGCAGGTGTCTTGGGGCTTGCTGGAAACCCAGCGAGGGTACGCGGGCCGTGCGAAGGCCGAAGCCCATCGATATTGATTCGGCATGTCATATCACATATCAGAATATATCACGTAGTATGTCGTCACATGCTGGGGGAGGGGAGATTCTACTCGCGTCGGTTATGCATAGGTCAGGCTATGTATAGCTGAGGCAGACCCATCCCCAATCTCAGTTTGTCGTCAGAGAATGTCGTTCTACTGGGGTGCTTACTGGGGATGCAAAGTTGCAAAAGTCAGGAAAGCCTGCCACTGCTGCCAGTTTCAAACCCATCAGTGCCAATCAGTTGTGAAGACCACGAGGCCGTGTGAAGCGGGTCCTTGGGTTGGCAGGATGACGTGCTCTCTGTTCCCTGCTTGGTAAAAATTTTCAGCCCCAACGATGTTAAGATCTGTGTGCGAGCTGCAAACACGTCGCGGCTCAGTCCGAACAAGAAGCAGCGGAACATGTCTGGTGCTGGAACCAACACTGGGTCACAGACATCACTTGGGGCGACTGCCAAGGAAGAAGCCTACCGTACAAACCCCCTCACAAAGCCACACAAAGCTATCACACAGCCTTCGACATGTCTCCAGAACAGAAGAACCACCAAAGATTCAACAAAAGACACTACAAGTGCCCTTGATGAAGGCATCAGTTTGGAGTCTTGAGACTTCTCCATGCCTTTGTTTTGTTTCAAGTGTGGGTAGCAGGCCTGTGGACATTGCGCGCTGTAGTGCAATGATGGGCGCCTGTGGCAGTCTACTAATTTAGCGGAAATGCCGAGCTCTCTGCCGGAATTCGAAGCACTTCTTGGCAACGACGAACCCCGCCGGATTTCTTGAAGATTTTGGTACCTGTGCGTCTGTTTCAGGTGCTGGCCAAGCGAGCTGCAAATCTTGATGGTAGCAAGGCAAAAGTCGGGACCTTAGGCAATCTGTTCGCGATGATGCTGCGCATTGCATTCCGGATTCCACTGACGAGGTTCTCTCCTGGAAGGCCCTGATGGGCTGACATGCTGAAGTTGTGGTGCTTCTAGCCTACAAGAAGATGTCTCCAGGTGGTGCGGGGCGGCTAAGCTGCCCGCGGACGATCCGAATCACAGTGCTGAGTCACCCGGCCGCATGGACAGTACTGAGCCGGCCGTACCTTTTGCGACTTAGGACAGCTCGAGCTAGAGCAGCCAGAGCCTGCGAGACTCCAGTCTTCCAGCGCTGCCGTTCCCTGGATGAAGACGATGTCTTTGCACCCTGTCCAGCATGGGCCCGTGTTTGCGAAGGCAAACTTTTACCGACAGCGGAGAGACTTTTTTAGCTGTCGCGGTCAGACGTGGAGGAATGCAGGCCGGTCCAGTTGCGGTGCACTGTACCAAGCTGTGGTCAATGGAAATCGAGACTGCCAGGCTTCATAAGCACAGCATGGAGCTGCTGCAGCCTGCTCAGAGCGAGCCCTCCCACCGCCGTGCATAGGGTCAGCTTTCATCCTTTTTCGCGTCCGGTTGCTGCCAGGCCATTGGGAAGGTGCCTGCCCCACGGCAGCACCAGGCAATGGCTCTGCTGACTTGTAAAGGAATCCAGCGCGATTCCATGCAGTCTGAATTAGGATTTCCCAGGTGGCCTGGTCGAAGGGATCGGGCTGCTTTTGAGCCAGTTTTGTGCCCATGCAGGAGCAGTGGTTTTGCTAGCAGCTTGCGTGCTGTCAAAGACCACATTCCCGCAGCTGTGGCAATCTAAATTGATTCAAAACGACTTATAATTACGCGCTGTCTTGCAGGCCGAGACAGCTGCAGTCTCGAAGGGGCAAGGTGTGGGCTCAAAACTTTGACCAGCTCGCTACTTCGAGACTGCGATTAATTCGACAGTGAAAGCATGGACAGTTCGGCCTTTTTTCTGGACTCCTTATGGATTGATGGTGTTGGTAGACCCGCTGCGCCACGTGCACGAGTCACCATGAATTCGGCAGAGCTTCGAGTTTCAGCCCCCAGTTTCGAAGTGGCTACAAAAGGTTTAGGTCTAGGTAAAAGGCCTGCGAGAAGCCCACTGCATTGCAGGCCTGGCCTACCGGTGCTGTGGTCATGCCTCGATGTGCCTGCGAAGTCTTTGGGCTCAGCCCGAAGATTAGCTGCCCATGCTTGGGCGGCCCTGTCCTGCATCATGGCTTTGCAAAGGCTAAGGACGGAGCGTTTTCACCAAGCATGGCCTGTTCGAGATAGTCAAGAGCTTGTGGGAAACAGGTTCCTTTCCATTTTAGCTGTTGGCATCTTTGTGGCGAACATCAGCACGCTGTGGGACAGCCGCCTTGCTGCAGGAAGCCACGTGAAGCCGTAGCCCCCTTGTGAACTTCGTGTGAAAGTCGAGTCAGAGGCTCGCTTTCGACGGCCTGGGCAACTCCGAGAAGTGCGCCGGAAGCAGTTTTCGTACGCTTAATCCAACGCCCTCACTGCAGGCCCCAGCCAAGAGTCAGCCGTCGGATACTACACCGCAGCGCTGCGAGGAGCTGCCACAGCCCGCTCGAACAGATTATCATGAACTAGGGCCTGATCCGAATCTCATGGCCTTCGAAGGTCACCGGCCCAGAAAGCTCGGCCTTTCAGAGACTAGCGCGGTTACCTGACTGCATTGCAGCGGCATGCTCTTTGAAGGACACTTGCAGCAGCTATAGTAGGCCTCGACGAGCTTGAGTAGGAGCCCTTGTGCACTGCAGGCTCCATTACCACGCCGTGCAGTTGAGACGCGAGAGGAAGTGGGCTGGAGCATCGGCCGTGTACCGCACGGTGCCTTGACGCAAACCATTAAATAAAAGCCGCTGCTCCTGCCACGGCTTTCTTTTGGAAGCCAAAGAGCCAAGAAGCGCTCTTCATTTCCAAAGCAGTGCATGGCTTCTCCATGATCCAGCGGCAGCGACACCAGATCCATGAAATCTCCACGTCGGTTTCTTCCAGCCATCGTGTCTACCCGTCTACCCTGTCCGTTTGCTGTGTTGACCTCGACTGTATATTCAACCACCGACTACCCCATGCCTCACTGCCTCACCCTCAGGCCATCGCCTTGCAAGAGCACATGCCTCCGGCGTGCAGCTCTTAGCTCTCGGTTTCAGTTTGCTGCGAGTGGCGCCCGGTCAAGGAAAGAGGTGCCGGCCTGCGCGGCAGCTGCATGCACCTGGCGGCTTGGAATCAAAAGAAAGCACCCACACTGACAAGTTATCACAGGTTGCCATCATCTTACAAACATTGAACTTCATATCCAACTCTGAGTCGCACCCAACTTGTATGGCGGCGTTTAGCAGCTTAGCACTAACACAAAGCATCACAAAAGGTTATGGGAGGCCCTCGACAGTGAGCTTTCAGGAGTCCTCCTGGTAACAGATCTTTTCAGAACGAGGAGGCAGTGAGGCAGATATGCGCCTCTTGCCACAGATGCGGGCCGGTGCCCCTGCAGAGAGGCGGGATTTCGGGCACTGGAACTACACTGAGGCTTAACTTAGCGCTGACAGAGCAGAACAACCTTCGCTTCGACAAAGCCCGCGAAGCTTTCCAAAATGGAACTCAATACGAGCCTCGGCTCCAAACGCTTGGCAGTGATTTGCAGCGCTGACCCTTCACTGGTGTGGCGCTTGACCTGAGTTTCTTCGGCTAGGTCCAAGAGACCATGCAGAAGGAGCGGAGCAGATCTGACAGCCTGTTGCAGAATTGCGTCATCGGAATAGGTAGCACACCCCTTCGTGGCACATGAGGCCAATGCTTGTCGAGCATCTAGAGATGGCTTCCAGGAGTTGAAAGTTTGGATTGATGGGCAAAGCCGGCTGCGTTCTCGAACTCTCGCACAGGCAGAATGCTCTTCGGTTGCAGAGTTGGCCTCTTTGGGGATGAGGTAAGCAGGGAATTGGAGAGGCCTGGACAGGCTGCATTCTGCTGGGGAGTAGGCAAAGAGCCCAACAGGTGGGGGGGCTTGCATTGCACATGATGCCTCTGCCGGGTAGGGGAATGCCAGGCCATTCTCAGAGCAGTCAGCATCACAGAGCAGCTGAGGCGCAGATGTCGCCGTGGCGTGCAAATGGCTTGCCACTCTCCTAGCGGCTTGGTATGCGGCATCTTTGTGCTATGTTATGCGAGTGGAAGTGCTAACTAACTACTCGATAACGTTACGTGTTGTTTACGTTGATCGGTTCGCAGAAAAGGCCGGATACAGATGCAGCAGTTGTGCGCTTGAGAGATTTCGTGCGTGGACTAGTCAGGTGGCCTGGGGCCTCCTGGAGACCAAGCGAGGCTTCCGGGCCCGCGCCAAGGCGCGACCCGACCTCGATGCCTCGATTTCTGTTCCCTCGGTGTTGATTGCCTTTCCGAAGGTGCTGGCCGAGCGAGCTGCCACACTGGATGGAAATAAAGCCAAGGCTGAAAGCTTTGGTGTAAATGATCTGCTTGAAGCTAGAAGCCAGCTATGCCAGGTCCTTTCCTGGAAGGCGTGGCCTGATCTGCAGCCGTGCTTTCCTGTCGACTCGCTCCGTCCAGGTGATCCAAGGACTGTGAACTGCCAGTCGAGTCCACGGCCATGCATAGCCATGCTATAATGCTGGGATAGTGCCTTGGCTGCACCCGTAGGATGCAAGCATCACGATCTTGCGGTTCACATCTTGCATCCGCTGCAAGTAAAGCTCAAGGCCACTGCAGACCCGGCAAGCCTCCAGTCTTCCATTGCTCATGAACTCATAATTTTTGATGCTCGGACTGAATTTTGTACTGACACGTTTTTTGAGCTCTTTGCTACTTAGGGGTTTGCACCGCGTTTCGGGAAGAAGCCGAGGTGTCTCTGTTGTGGCAGCACCTAGAGATTTGTAAGGCTGCCCCTACTTGTGCAACGCGTGGCTTGACGGCATTCGTGGCGCATTACGACCCAGGGAGCCAGGATACAGGCAAAGGGCGCGCGATCAAGTGTCGCAGGCACATTGAGACCTTGCACTTGCACAGTACAGTCCGCCTCTGGGCTGCAAGCGGCGACTCTGGTTGATGTTGTTGTACAATTTTTCCTAGCAGCGTGAGCTCTGGGGTCTTCAGCCGAAATAAGGCTTGGGGCAGATTGGGGCAAGGCAGGCGGTTTTCCGAGGCAGGACCAGGTTCCGGGTTCCGAGGCGGGTTTCCGGCGGGCCGGAGTGGGTTCCGGCAGGTTTCGGGCAGGGCCGGAGCCTCCGACCAACCCCAAGAGCATCCAAGAGCATTTTCCGAGGCCTGCTAAACGCAATTTGGCCCTGGTTACAACAAATCAAAATGTGGAGTTCAATGCTGGCCCTACACCCGAAAATATCAGAAGATGCAGCCACCCCTAAAGTGCTCGAATCAGAATCTTGTGTTTGATGCCCGGCTGGGCAGGGACAACCCATCTACAGCTCTGCCAGCTTTTCTGGTACCATAATGCGAGCCCAGCGACAGCCATTCTGCTGCTGGGGATATTCCATGGGATAATTTAGTCTTGCCGTTGGACATGTCGTGCTTGGACCCAGGCCTTTTCCGATGGCTTGTTTGTCGGGCCCAAGTACCACAATGGAAGGTCACCGGAACATGGAGCGGAAGGCCATCTACACAGATGAGAGGGAAAAAAGGATGGTTCCATTGACTTTGATGCTATTGCCAACATTGCGAGCAGTCGCACCTGTGGAATTCTGCCCCAGTGAATTTGCTCCATGACAGGTGCTGCGGACTCTGATCTAATTCGTTCGGGTTGGTAATTGCCTGCTGCCATTCGGAAGGGAGGCGCAGGCGATACGCACTCGAGGTTTTGAGCCCACCGCCGGGCATTTACCAGTGTAAGCTACCCGTTGAGACTTGTTAAGCTGGTCTGTTCAGCTTCTGACGGAGCAACAAAATATTTTACAAGAAGGCACCATTGTTGCCTTCGTGAGCTCTTTGTCGCACCTGCATTCGGGGCTGTGGAGCGGTGCCCGGGGTTTCCATGCCACCGTGGTGAGCTCTGGGCTTGCTGGGCTGCAGGACATGCAAAGGCTAAATTAGATTTTTTTGAACGGCTTCATGTGATCATAGAGTCAGACCGTGGGCCTGAGCGTGGCTGGAGGATACTGCATGTCAGGGGTCGAAGCTTTGTGATAGGGACCCACGTAGCAGCACGCCGTCTGTCAATCCGAAATGCAAGTGCAGACTGCAAGCTGGTACCCTAAAGCTTCAGTGTGTCCGAGTGTGAGGTGCAAAACATAAGGCGAGTGTTCGAGATGCAGACCGAGCCGACAGAATCAATGTTGCGAGCTGCAGTGATAGAACTGCATAGATCTAAGAGCCCACCTATGGCGAACCGGCGTAGTCCTGTTGAAACTCAGCTAGGACTTGTGTTAGCACCGACCCCTTCACTGCGCCTTCGGCATTTTCGATTTGTAGTCGCCCACCCATGATCACATGCGGAAGTGGAGTGTCAGTCAGTGTCAGTGTGCTCGCCTCCAAAGAGTTGAGGCTCAGAGCCAGAACACGGCTCCTGCACCCCTGACAAAGCTTGTTTGTTGCACATGCAACCGGGACCCTGCACTGAATCCTGGCCTTTCTCTGACCTTACTTGCCGCAGCCGCTCGAGTCAAGCAAAGCCCCACGACGCCCCGTTGAGCATGATAAACTACCGGCATGGACGGTTGGGCATGGGAGTGCTTTGCCTTTGCCGCGGGTCTGTGATCCCAAAGGCTCTCGTTTGGTCTATCCCTGCATCCATACTGACGATTATAATGCATGTATATTGGGGCACGACGAAAGGTGACTTGAATGAGGAGATACAGGGCATTGAAACGATTTGGCGGGGATTTACCTTCGTGCTTGGCTTCCTCATCGTGTTTCGCAGTAACCAAGCCTACAGTCGGTTTTGGGAGAGCGTTACGCTTCTTCACCAAACGACAGGCGAGTGGATGAGTGCTTACAGTAACCTGCTAGCTTTCTGCAGTGAAGAGCCGGCCAAGCAGAAGGATGTCCAGGAATTTCAGGCCTTTCTGTCCAAGCTCATGAGCTTGCTTTACTGCAGTGCCTTGCAGCACATGTGTGAGCTGGAGGATGACACCTTAGAGGTGCTCGACCTTGGAGGTCTCAGCCGAAGCAGCTTACAGCATCTCCGGGATAGCCCAGACAGGACAGAGTTGGTCCTTTTGTGGATCGAACGCCTCATCCTTCACGCGGACAAGAGCAAGGTCATCGATGTCTCAGCTCCAATCTTGTCTCGGGCATTTCAGGAACTCTCCAGAGGAATGGTCACTGTTAGCAACATGCGCAAGATCCACATTCCATTCCCGTTCCCATATTCTCAGCATTTAGTTTGCGTCCTAATCTTCTACACAATACTTACTCCCATCGTCGCCAGCCAGGCAATTTTGAAACCGTGGTGGGCTGGCATTATGGTTTTCGTGGTCTGCACTTCGTATTGGACTCTCCTCTACATCGCCCAGGAGATCGACCAGCCATTTGGAGATGACGCCAATGATCTCCCCATCAGGGAAATGCAGCACGAGTTCAATACCAAACTCATTTATTTTGCACATCCCTTATCATACAGTGTGCCAGGTTTCCGACCAGACTCCAGCCAACACATTCACATGCTCGGTTCCAACTTCACCCTTTCCTTGGGTATGTCTGAGTCCAGGGATCGTCAACCACTCGCACGGCCTTCATCTGTAACAGGTGCAACCGAGGCCAGCGAGGCCGTCAAAGCGAATCGATGGAGTCATGCAGATGGCAGTGCCACCAGAGCTGTTGGGGATAGCCCCTCAGTTCCGTGGGAGTCAGACCCACTGAGCCCTGCCGTGCTGTCAGAGCTGCTGCCCAAAGTTCTTCCGGAGCATTTCGATTCATCCGACATACATAGAATTCTTCAAGCTGCAGGCGTAGACTCTGAAAGAGATCCTGACCCTTTAAGGCGCAGAACCAATACTCCTGCAAGTGGTATTTTGTCAGCAAGCGGCAGGGATGTTTACACGGCCTCCCTCGCGGCCCTCTCCTTACGAGTTGAAGATGCCTTGTCCCGGCAGGAAAGCACGCTCACTGAACCTGCATTGCGTCAACAGATGTACAAGCTGAAAGAGGCTTTGGCCGAGATCGCACTGGACCAGTGCACGGTGTAGCGGGGGCAGGGTTAGGGTCAGCTTGGGTTGTGTTCCTAGTTCCGTGTAACATTCTATTGCGTAATTCGAGGCTCCATTGCATGGCAATTTGGAGCCACTTTAGCTATATAGACGTCATTGTGTCATTTATTCATTTTTGAAGGTATGACCTTTCGGCGATGCTGGCGGTCTGCTTCGGACGAATCCGTGCGTTTTCACAAAGCCAAAGGCGTGCCCGATGCCCCACCTCGCTAGCCTTCCACATGCTTTGTTCCGCAGAATGCGGCTTACAAAGTCGCGGACGCGAGACTCACCTGCCTGCAAAAAGATACCTCGGCAAGGTTGTCCGTGCGGCAAGTGGTTGTTGGTGCAAGGCAGCTAACTTTACCGCTCCCTTGAACATGGCACGCAGCAAAACAGCATAATTCTTTAATGTTTGCCAGCCAGCGGCCACGTGGAAACACCATGGATCCCACTACTGAAACACTGGACACTTCGTAAGCCGTCGCCTGTGACCATGGATCCGGCAGCGGGTTGCCTAGTCCAAGAGGTGTCCACTCCAGCGGCACTAACTGCTGGGCCTGCCCCATCCCGATCCCGCAGCACCCCGTGCTCTGCTCCGAGTTCACATCTGCCGATGGTGGAGGTGGCTCTTCCTATGCCGGCCTGTCAGAAAGTCCTGTGCCACCTTTCCATTTCTGTCATCAGGACGTTCCGGCTGACCCAGGTATCGCATCGTGCACCTCGCGCATTGCGCACGAGTTTCACTGAGGTGCCTTGCATTCCATTTCATAATATTTCACCCGTGCATTTGCTGAGAAAACGCATACAGGCTTTGAGGGAAGTGCAGCTGCTAATTAGTCCATTTCGCTTGCTTTTGCAAGGAGAAGGGATTCTCGCGTTCACAGAGGTCCGGCCAGTGGCAGCATCATCCAGTAATCGGAGTCTGGCCCTTTCCACTCCGCCAGGTCAATAGGAGAAGAGCTCCTGTCATAGACCAATCTGAAGGGAGTGTTGGAGGCCGGGGCTAAAGCGGAGATAGATATGGCACTAAGTTCACCTTTTGCACAACGTGTGCTCACTTGTTCGTGCTTGCTGATTCTCGTCTCGAGCACGAGGCTCTGAGCAGCGAAAGCTGGTAGGCTCCCCTTGCCTCGGCCATGATCGAATACTCTCATGGAAGATGGGGCATACGAGTTCTCTTACAGCTACGAGGATCCGTGATACCGAAAGCCTTGGTTTGGTCAGTGCCGTGCGCAGCAATCACCGTCTTGCTTCATCAGTTTTGGGACAGCGAAAAGGGTGACGAGAACAAGCAAATGGAGGGTATTGACCAAATCTGGTCAAAATTCACTTTCGTGCTCGGCTTCCTTATCGTTTTTCGCAGTAACCAGGCATATTCCAGATTTTGGGAGAGCGTCACCTTGTTCCATCAGATATCTGGGGAGTGGATGAGCGCCTTCAGCAACCTCCTCTCTTTCTGCAGCGCTGATCCACAAAAGCAGGCTGCGGTCGTGGAGTTCAGGCAATATCTCATTCGACTCATGAGCCTTCTGCACTGCAATGCCCTCCAGACTTTGTGCGAACTCGATGATGACAGGCTCGAAGTTGTGGATTTGGGTGGCATTAGTAGAACCAGTTTGCTGCATCTCAAAGGCAGCCCAGATAGGTGCGAGACGGTTCTGCTGTGGCTCGAACGCTTCATCATTGAAGCTGACAAAAACAAGACCCTGGATGTTCCAGCACCTATTCTGTCCCGTGCCTTCCAGGAGCTGTCTCGTGGAATGGTTGGTGTGACGAATGTGCGGAAGATACGCGATGTTCCTTTCCCGTTCCCGTATTCGCAGTTTCTTTCCTTCATTTTGGTAGTACACTGGCTGGTTACACCCATCGTGGCCAGCCAGATAATATTGAAACCCTGGTGGGCCGGAATCATGGTTTTCTCTGTTGTCACCTCCTACTGGACATTGTACTACATCGCACAGGAGATTGACCAACCTTTTGGTGAGGACGCTAATGATTTACCGGTGAGAGAAATGCAACGTCATTTTAATGAGAAGTTGGACTTTTTCATTAGTCCCCTGTCTTGTGCTGTACCGGAGTTCAATGTAGATGCGAGTCAGCATATCCAAATGCTAAGCTCCACGTTCAGTGTAGCCCTCTCTAATTCTGTCGCAGCTCCCTCGGCTGGGACAAAACCCGCTGTTGCCGGACGGCAAAACGACGTGGAGTCAGCCTATGACCTCGTAGAGGACAGACTGGAAGCTGCACTTGACTTTCGCCTCAACACGGCCTCAAGAGCTCCACCGTCACAAGAGATTATTGAAGTGACCCTGTCAAAGGAATCAACTGCTCCTGTTGGTTGCGATTGCGCGGCGTCGCCGGATCAACCCCATGCGACGATCTGTTTCAGCCGACAAGCAGCGACACGCGAGGATTCCGAAGTTGACATTGGGCCGCCGGAAGGGGCCGGCGAGGAAGCACTCGGCGCATGCCTGCGTGAGCTAGAAGAACTCAAACAGCTGCTTGCCATGCTACCCGGGCGGCAGGATAGAGAGCTCGCAGAAATGCTGCGCGACCTGGCGGGGGCAACAAATGGTCAGAACCATGGAAGCATGGTTTTAAAGCGGTCTGCTGGCGACCCCATGACAGAGCTGCCAAAAAAGCTGAACAAGTTCATGGCTTCAGACGGTCTGAAGAGACTCGATCCCGATCGCCAGCAGAAGCTCCGCTTGTTGAACCAGCGACTCCAAGAGAGATTCAGCAGATTGAGACGAGTGTGACCTTGGCGCTTGTGCACAGTTTCGGACACCAGCCGTGAGTGCCGAGCACTAGGCCCTCCAGGCTCCAGAAGAAGCGAGGCCGCTGAATCGGCCATTTTTAATGTTTCACGTCTCAAAAAGAGTTATCAAACCTGCCAATTCGCAACTCTCCAACCCGGAACAGCACGCATGAATCCAAGACGACTTCGACCGCTTCGGGTGTATGATGCTGCATGCACAGCCCGAACATCATTTCAAATTTGCAGGGAACATACCTCCCACAGTAGAGTTGTTTGTTGTTGTCTTGGTGATGCGGGGGCTTGAGCTCCGGTTCAATGCCGGGTCCAGACCAGATTGACTACATGACTACATGTTGTCAGAATTTAAGTAAGAACGTACCAAGCTTCTGCTGTTCTCAGTCTGGACCACTGTATCAAATTAATTTCCGGAGGCCTGGCTTGAGGCCTTCTGTTATCCGAGATGCAGTGCAGATTGTGATTATAGAAACCGCGCAAAAGTACAGAGCACGAAGACCTTTGAATCAAGGCTCTGAGAGTTTTTTCTGCCTGAGACAGGGACATCCGTGCCCGTTTCTTAGGTGGCTCAAGATGGGTTCCACGGCCCCCTTACGGAAGGCACAGGCTTCGTGGGCATGATAGCCTACAGTCATGGCAAGTGGGGCGTCCATGTCCTTCTCAGCTTCCGGGGCTCAGTGATTCCCAAGGCAACGTGGCGGGAGGCATAGTCGTAGTTAGTCGTAGTTGTGCAGGCCAGAGGCAGATTTGCAACTGTGCAGCTGAATTATACGTGATGCCTGCGGCTCCCGAGGCATTGGTTTGGTCCGTCCCTTGCGCCCTTGTTACAATTCTGCTCCACAGCCATTGGGGCGAAGACAAGGGCGACGACAACTTGGAAATGCAAGGCATTGGTACCATCTGGTCGGGCTTCTCTTTTGTACTTGGCTTTCTTATCGTCTTCAGGAGCAATCAGGCATACTCGCGATTCTGGGAAAGCGTAACCTTGTTTCAGCAAATCGGTGGAGAGTGGCTCAACGCTTTCAGCAACCTCCTTTGCTTCTGCAGCAAAGACCCGGAGAAGCTAGGCCAAGTCAACGAGTTTCGGTATTACCTCTCGAGGTTGATGAGCCTCTTGCATTGCAACACCTTGCAGACCCTGTGCGAGCTGAGCGATGATAGCCTCGAGGTCCGGAACTTTGACTTGCAACCCCGTCCCCCCTCCCGCCCTCCCGCGTTAGTTGATGTCGGTCCTGAGTTTTGTCCCTCCTGCAAGGTCCTGGACCTTGGAGGACTGTGCAAGAAGAGCCTTTGGCACCTGCAGAAGAGCCCTGACAGATCGAAGACGGTGTTGTTATGGATCTCTTGTTTGATTATGGAGGCGCATCAGCACAAGACGATCGAGGTGCCGGGTCCTATCCTCTCCAGAGCCTTTCAGGAGCTGTCTCAGGGAATGGTCTGTGTGACGGACTTGAGAAAGATTCGTGATGTGCCGTTTCCATTCCCCTACTCGCAGTATCTCTGCTGCATGTTGATCGCGCACTGGATACTCGCGCCCGTGGTCGCAAGTCAAATGGTGCTCAAGCCTTGGTGGGCAGGCATCATGGTCCTGGTGGTGTCTACTTCTTACTGGACACTGTTCTACATTGCCCAGGAGATCGACCAACCATTTGGTGAGGATGCAAACGACCTGCCTGTCCGTGAGATGCAACAGAAGTTTAATGCAAAATTGCAATTCTTCCTGGAGCCAATGTCTACAAAAGTTCCAGATTTCAGTATGGAGTCTAGCCAACATCTCGAAATTCTTAGATCCTCTTATAACGTCAGCCAGTCCAACATGGCCAGCCCTCACTCTTTGGTTTCCGTGGCCGCGGCATTTCACATGTCAGACACTCTCAAGGCTTCACAGTCTTCGCAGGCTTCGATCGAGAGGCCCGATCTTCAGATGTCCAACAGTCTGCAAGAGGTTCAGGGCGCATCCCTAATGGATCCCCTGGAACCCAAGATGCTGCAAGACGCGATCCTGCTAATGCTGCCGGACGTGGGTCTCAAGCGCGTGTCAGAAATGCTGAAGATTCTTGGTGTCGGGGACGAAGAGACCGGCCTAGATTTGCAGGGATTTGGGGAGGACTTTAGCATTCTGAGCCAGCGGCAAGAAAAAGAGATGCCCGGCCGAACATCCCTCGCGGATGTTGCTGTCCGTGTAGACGACCTACTGAGTGCAGGAGAAGGCCAAGAGCCAGAACTCCAAAGGAGTTTTGCTTCTTTGAGCGAAGCCCTGGCTAAGACTATTCCCCGGGTCAAGCGAATTTGATTTGAGCGACTATCCGAATTGCGCCACCTGCTTTGAAATGTCGCATTATATAGTCTGCAATTGGCGGCTCGTCGTGCGCTGTCGTGCTGCAGCCTGCTGCCAGTGTTTTCGTGTGAAGAAACGGCTCTACCGACCGGACTTCAGCAGTCTGGAGTATTAAGGCCGAACATGTAAAACTGTCACTGCCGTCACTGGATATGTACAGGTGTGAATTTGGCGCCAGTGCTCTTGTCCTGCTTTCTGAATACGCAGCTCGCTCAGACTGTGTGGCAGGGCCTGCACAATCATGCAGATGCCACAAGATTCGGCTGATGATAGAAGTCATCGCAGCAATGCCAGCGTAGAAAATGCCTATCATGCTATTGCCAGACGTTCCTTGTCGTTCGGCCTGGTTTGCAGACGAGAAGCCCACGCCGTTGCAGCGCACGTCCAGGTGTGTGAGAAGCATGCAGGCCAGCTTGAGGTCGTGAGTGCCTGCACGGCGCTGAATCGGATTGCGGCTTGGCTCATTCTTTGATGCGGTTCGCACTTCTGAAGTCGTTGCCTCCTTGGGGGACCTGGGCTCCTCACCGGATTGCAAGGCCAAGTGCGGCGGTGATTCCGAGGAGCCGGGAAGGGATGTGTGGGAAAGTTCAATTTGAAAGATGTGCTTCAGAAGTGTCAAGACCTTCCACTGTTTGGCCTTGCTGGTAGCCCGATGCATGACGTCGGTAAAGAAAGCGCGGCAGTTTCACCTTGCCCAATGTTGATTTCTCAGCTCGCTACAGCCTGTTTGTGACGGTCCAAGGCGCCACAGAGGAGTCAACAGCCAGCAGGGTAGCAATCACGCAGCTCATGATCGTAAGTGTGTTCATCGAAGTTAAGTCGACTCTGAAGAAGAAGACCAGCCGAACATGTTTTGAAACGGCGAACAAACTAACCTCAGAGTCCCAGCTAGTTGTTCCGGCGTTCGAAAGCTTTCAGTGCTGATGGCCTGCATTCCTCTTGGCTGTTCATGTCGCTTGCTCGAGTGCCTCGTTGTGCGGCGACGGGAGCGGGAACGGTGCCACGGGCAGCGCCGCAAGGCCCAGAGGAGAAGCAAAGCAAGGGCTGCTGTACTGAGCAAGATCTAAACTACAAGCGCATGTCAAGCATTTCGCCCTGCCCCTGGCAGATCTCGATCCGCTCCACTCTTCGAGGCTGGAAAATCATCCGGATACAAGACGCTTGACCGCGATTCGCCCACTCCAGCTGCGAGGGGTGTGAAGTGAAACAATGGCATAGTTGCGACCCTCCAGGATCTCCATGTGCAGAGCTCACAGTTATTTCTGAGATTCCAGCTCCCATCTCATGTCCAGTTCCCATCTCATATTGTGCTTTCGTCCTGTTAGTGTGGCTTAAGTTTCACAGACGAATCGTCCCAAAGCCTCTCTGGATCGAATCATCCTCCGCGAGTTTGGTTGGTACCATCGCCCCTGCAATGGTTTCAAGCAGCTGGCAACAGCCGCAAAGCGAGGGTTACTGCAGCTCATGAAGCGCAGTTTACTGGCGATCCTCACATTCAGCTCTATGTGGCTGGATGATACTTCAGAGCACCCGAGGTGCGGCCTTTCCGAAGTCCGCCGGTCGCATCCCGAAGTCACTTAGCCAAGGAGGCACATTGACAAGATTAGGAAGGACTTGACTTCTGCATGCACAGGCTTGTACGGGGCACATCATGGCGAATGTTGCTTGTACCCTTCGAAGGTATCCAACCACAGGGCTATGGTGCTCTTCCGCAATCACCTCGAGCGGGGCTAGGCCTCATGGCATTGCTGCAATCGCTCTGTGGCAGAGACGTGGGTCATGACATGAGCTGCTCACAGTGCAGAGCTGTCTTAGCAATTGCAGAAAGCAAAGTGCATTATCTACTTCTCCATGTGCCCTGAGACGTGGCTGCTGGGGGGATGCTTGTGGACAGCTCGGACGGCATCGTGTCATCGGCACAGGACAGATCGCTGAGTGCCAGAGGGTTCGGGAAAGCATCCGCGATCAGGACGAGGACCTCTTGGCAGAGATCCGCTCCCTCGAGCAACGCTTACGGGAAGAGCCTTGGGGCTCAGCTTGCCACCGTTTCGAATTGTGGTGCAGAGCTTGCTTGTCATGGGGTCGAGTGCCGAGGATTACATGGGCTCAAGCACATGGCGTCCAGCTGGCAGGGCTCCCTGCCAGCATGCTTATTGTACATCGTGCAAGGCAAGTTTCACATGAAGAAGGAGGCATTCGTTCAGAGGGTCTAAGCCACCCTGTGCTGGGCATCGGCTTCGTGCAGCCAAGGCCAGACCCAGAGTCAGCCGGATTGATGCAGAATGCCAGCTCGACTGCGTACCCTGCATCTACCGCAGCGGGTGCGGACACAGTCCTGGCACATGGTGTGGCGGAACTCAGGGTGCAGGCGTGGTGGATACGGATTTCCAACCGAAGCAAGTGTGATGCTCGGTGCACCCCACCAAGACTCACAAGACGCAGGCCCAAATGCTTAAGCAAGGCAGTTGTGACAACTGTCAACACCATTACCGACTGAACGCATTGTGAGCGCCAGTGCATGCTCAATGCATGTCCTGTTGGCGAGGCACCTACACGAGGGCCACCAGCCTCGGATGCTTAGGCAAGATCTCATTGAATCATTTTTCTTGCGTTGCTGCAGGGTGCTGCGGAAGAGAACAGGCAAGACCAGGAGGAACTGACCCCCATGGGCTTCCAGCTGAGGAGTTTGCGCACCTCACCAGAAGCGAGTACATCAAGCTCAAAGCGCAGCGTCGGCATGCAGCCCTGACTATCCAGATGCAAATAAAGGCACGCCGGCGTGGAATAGGGCCAAGCATTGCACGATTGACTGGAGTATTTGGCTGCAGTCGGAGGTGTACCTGGTTCGCCAGTACATGTGCTGGAGTTCCCGTGTGCCATCCATCAAGCGAATCCAAGCTTATTGCTGGAGATATTTGGCACAGGCTGGGCATCGGACTCTCTCTCTCTCTCTATCTCTTTCTCAGCTTTGATGCCAAGTTGAGGCCGGTGAGATCCGGCACATTCCAGCACGCTCCAGGTACAGATGCTGGAGAACAGGAGAAACGCACAGCTAAAGTTCGCCTTGCTCATGGTCCGGCTTCAGGCCGAGTGCATCATCGCTTGTGCGGAGATCGGCCTTTCTATTTCTTGGTGCGAAGCAAACTCGGGACTTCGGATCCGTCGGGGTGCTTGCCACCGAGACTCTTCGGACACCCTGGAAAGCTCGGGGCAGTTGAAACTGCCCAGATTTCATGAAGTCCAGACAGGCTTGTCTTCTGGAGGGGTTCGGAAGTTGGATGTTAAACAATTCATGACAATTCTGCGTGCGACAGCCTTGTCGTTCGGTCTCTTAGGGTAAGCTTGGTGAGAAGGCTAGGGGCTCTTGAGCCAGCATCTCAATTAGGGTTGAGTGGGCGTGCCGCAAGCAGAGCCACTTGCGATTTTTTGCAAGGCCAGAATCCGCCTGCGGTTGGCCAGGCACAGTTTCCATAGCCTTGCGCGATGTACCAATGCAGAGCATTTGTGATCATTTGCGTGCGATGCTGCGGAACCCATGCGGTTTTTGTTTGACTTTTCTTGTGTCTGGTGCCCGCTGTCACAGGAAGAAAGCTGAAAAGCTGAAGCAACAGGAGGAGGCAAGGAGTGCTAAATGCTTTCGGAGCCCTGCTGCAGGGACCTCTAATTTATTTGCACAACGTATTTTCGTACCCAGTCAGCCTTTGTTATGAGCCTTCGAGCAGCAAAGAGGAATAAGCTGTAGCAGAAACGGGCTTGAGAGGAGGCGAAGCTCTGGCACGCGGCTCTTTGGAAGCTCCAAGGCGAAGCTTCGGTGAAGATCGGGGCCAAGTGCCGGAGTTTCATAGCTGGAACCCAGCTAAGCTCGAGTTTGAAGCCCTCGTCGGATCCTCGCTTGCACTGCAGCAGTGCTTGGAGGAGCTCAGGACTTTTGCCTTTGAGCTGCCTTGAAGGCTGTGTGCTTTGCAGTTTGGTCCCTCGTGGTAAGGGGCTAGAGCTTCTGGTGGTAGCATCCCAGGTGCGGGAGATCCAGAGGTCGTGCCGCGTGCACGGAGCGAGAGTTTTCCTGCTAGACACAAGGACTTGACAGCGGCTGATTCATGCCCAGTCTAAAGCTGGGTACGGGTACAGTTTGTCTTTGCACGATTTTTGCGTGCTTGCCCTCACAAGGGCATGCCGATTTGGCTCATGTCTTGTCCCTCCCCCCCCGCTGTCCCAAACCCGTGCACACGAGCAAACACAGTTGTTTCATGTCTCGCAGACTGCCATGTTTTCACGGAGGAGACGCATCCACGCAGCTCGAGAGATACAGCGGATGTGCCGGGTGCACTGGAGTCGGCTGCAGGCAAGGGGGGGAACTTCTCGTCCACGTCTCCCTCGTCTGAAGGCCGACACTGTGCAACCATGCTCCGAGGTGCGTGATTCCTTGGCAGTGGCTCGCGAGCAGGCATGGGGATGTGCATCGTGTAGATTCGTCGGCCGGGTGCCTTTCTATTCTCAGACACCTGTCAAGCAATTGTCAACATTTGTGGAACCATCATTTCGGACCCTGCGCAGGAGCGCATGCGTATCCGTGCAATAATGCGGTTGCAGACGCTGCTGCCCCTTGGAGCAAACAAAGGTTACCCAGATCGCTCCAATTCCGGTCGCAACTGAGGAAAGGCATGAGAGCTCGACAGGAGCTCCATCACTTGCGTGTGCTGAACGACGAGGCCCGGACATCGTCGCACGTGCCATGCTATGAAGTGGCGGTGAAGTTTCTGGCGCATGCAATAATGGCGCGTTCTGTATTTTTAGCCCCACCTGGATTCTGGCTCGATTGCCTGGGGCGAATTCTTGTGGGATAGCCATGTCAAGCTGTTGGGTTTTGCCAGCCTTGTCGCGGCGGAAACCTAGTCGCGGAGCTTTACAGTCTTGCCCAAGTGGGTTTGTCTCCCTGCTGCGCTAAGTAATTAAGGACAATTCGGCACATTCAATCGTCGACAATTGGCTTTGTTGTTCGTTCGAGGCCGAGCGCAACCGGCGGCGACTGGAGGAAGACCGGGTAGAGGTGGGCGTCCAACGAGCCGGGAGAGCCGGTTAGCATGCGTTCGACTTTGTTGACTTTCAGGAGCCGGAGCTTCCTGTCCTCGATCCGCAACCCCTGCAGCCCGGTCTTAGAATAGCGCAGTGGCCCTAGGACCTAGTAGGGCCGAGGGCCTAGCCATGCCTAGCCTAATAAGTTCTAGCCCACCTTCAAGGCCATTGTGTCCCTCACCGTCTACCGCCTACTGTAGTCCGGTGCAAATGGCCGAGAGAAGCCGCTGTGTGCTGTGAACGACCAGAAACAAATTGAAAGCACGGTCAAGAGCTGGTTCCGGGTGATTATACGTGTGATCCTGCAAAACGAGAAAACCAGCCTGTTCGGGAAGTCATGCTTTGCTGCAGGAACACGAAGCTTGCAAGTAATCCAAATGGTTCGTTGTGGATTTCGAAAGCGCAGCAATGCTAGTGGTTCTGCAACAGTTTCCGCTCGAGCTCAGATGGTCTTGTAGGCATCAGTCCCTTGCTCGCGTCCAACGCGAAGCCCTGAGGTATGATTGTATATGAACACGGAACGTGGGGGATTCAGGTCCTTTTGCGTTTGAGAGGATCTGTTATTCCGAAGGCCTTGGTCTGGGCAGTCCCTTGTGCCGCAGTAACAGTCCTCCTTCACCTATATTGGAACCAGGAGAAAGCGGAGGACAACCGTGAGATGGAAGGGATCCACACCATCTGGTCAGCATTCACTTTTGTTCTGGGCTTCCTGATCGTCTTTCGCAGCAACCAGGCATACTCGCGTTTCTGGGAGAGTGTCACTTTGTTCCATCAAATCTCCGGCGAGTGGACAAGTGCCTTCAGTAACATCCTCTCATTTTGCAGCCCCGATCCGCAGAAGCAGGACCAGGTAGACGAATTCAGGCAGGGAAGGGACCTCCAAATTCGAGATGTAGGCCGCAGACTTGCAATATCTGGTGTGAGTTTGGGGCCCACATGAGGACTTCAGCATCCTAAGGCGATTGCTACGCTAGGACTAGGAAGTTAGAAAGATGCTCCGATCTAAGATAAGCCCTTTTAACCTGAAGTCTACCAGACCATCTTCCAGGCAGTATCTTACCAGATTGATGAGCCTCCTACACTGCAGTGCTCTGCAGACGACCTGCGAACTTGACGACGACAGCCTAGAAGTGCTGGATATTGGTGCTGTCAGCAGCACGGGGCTTCTCCACTTTAGAGACAGCCCTGACCGTTGCGAGACTGTTATGCTATGGCTCCAGCGCTTGATCATGGATGCAGAGCGATCGAAACTCCTCGAAGCACCGCCGCCGATTCTCTCTCGAGCATTCCAAGAGCTGTCACGAGGGATGGTGAGCATGACCAACCTCAGAAAGATTCGTGATGTTCCTTTCCCGTTTCCATACTCTCAGTTTCTGTCTTGCATTCTCCTGGCCCATTGGATTCTTACTCCGCTGGTCGCAAGCCAGACAGTGATGAAACCATGGTGGGCCGGCATCATCGTCTTTGTAGTTGTGACATCGTACTGGACTTTGTTCTACATTGCTCAAGAAATTGACCAGCCTTTCGGCGAAGATGCGAACGACTTGCCTGTCAGAGAGATGCAGCGCAAATTCAATGCCAAATTAGAGTTTTTCATTAAGCCTGATTCATACACGGTACCCTCCTTGAATTTGGACGCAAGCCAACACATCTGCTTGCTGGCATCAACCTTCAGCGTAGCGCTGAGCAGGGGCGCCACCGGCACCGCCACAACCTCAGAGCATCTCATGCCAATCACTGACACCGGTGCATGCGGTGAGAGCAGGTGGTTGCAGCCAGATCTTGGCGACAGTGCGGGGGAAACTATGAATGAGTCCATTACAGCGCCGAAGTCTTTGATGCACGATTCTGTAGGGCCTACAATGCTAATGATCCCTGAACCGAGATCGATGGAGAAGGTGGAACGCCTAGAAACTGAGACACTGCAATCCATAAAGGTTGAAGAGGAGGGTGGCAAGCAGCTTCTGGATTGGGCTTCGCTTGAGCAGTTGGTATCTCTGCTGCTCCTGAACCCGGACCAGGTTTCGCTGCAAAGTCTAGGAGATTGCGAGGGCTTGTCCGGAAGCATGGGCACAGCGTCAAAGTGGGTCACGACGGATGTGCTGAAGGATGCGTCCGAGAGGTTAGATGACGCACTGACTTCCATGCGTGCTACCCGTTCCCAACAGAAGAGATGGGGCCTCGACATCGACCAGTTGACCTCGTTGCAACGAGCTCTTGCTCAGTTTGACAGGATTCGGGCACTGTGAGCTGTAGGAAACTCTTGTACAGAAACTTATAGCTATCGGCATCTTTCAATCAAAGCCGGTGCATTACCAAATGTGATGGTAGTGACGGTAGTGGGTAGCGCCTGCCGATTAATTAGCAGAATCTTGATGGTGATGTGGAGGACCGTGCCTTAAAGCCTAACCAAAGTTCGAAACGTTGTCGTGGCTGTCGTCATCCACTCGGTTGGTTCAAGCGGCCTTCACAAGTTCCTGGCCTAGCCCCTGTTGGCGAAGATTTCAGAGATTTGATAACTCTTGTAGCGTTGCGTCGTTGAACCTCCGGGCTCCGGTGGCTAAGCCATCAGACAGCCCCAGCGATCCAGCGCACACGCTGTCATCGACTGGACTAGTACTGTAGTTGCTACACCACTTTCTATTCTCTCCTGTAACCACCGCCGGGACTAGCGGTTCCAGCCTTTGACAGTGCTGCTTTTGGCAAAGCTTCAGTCCGCCTCTCGGACACATCCGTCTGTGCGCACCGTATAGCTTCTGTCAAACCCTGCGTGCCCCATATGCACGTTGACTTGCAGATGCTCCAACCAGATCGGCGAGCGCCGTCAAGGTTGAGATCAGTCGTGCGCAGCACATCGGTTGGCTTCCAACTCCTGGAACGCTCCCAACATGTCGTTGACAAGAGTTTTGGTCGGGGAAAGCCGTCTGACTCTCGCGACGCTTCTTGCGAACGAAAGGGAAAAGAGAAGTCTGGTCAGGGCAGGGACCAGGGATGAGCCAAAAAAGCGCCAGGGCCAGGGATCACTCACTTTCTTGCTGCGTTTCTCTCAGGTGGCCAGAGCTCGGCTTGGAGGAGCGGATCCAAGCCGTTTGGGAGCACGTTCTGGCGCAACAGCAGGAGCAGTCCAAGTATCTTGGCCTTTCGTGAGGTCGAGCCGGAGGTAGCCGGAGTGATATATATAAAAATATATATAGAAATATATATATATATATATATATATATATAGAGGGTTGCATTTGACAGCTTAGGCGCGAAGAGGAGGTGGCGCGACTCACGAAGCTGCTGACCCAACAACGACTGGACAAGAATTTGAAGCCCAACTGCTGGAGCTCCTCGTCCTTGACGAACCCCGTGGCTGCGTCAAGCAGATGCCAAAGAAGAGTCGATACCCCAAATTCTCAGGTTGCGATCAGCTGCTGCTGGACCTGGATGCATTGCTGCGTGCCCTGCAGCGGATTTGCCTAGCAGCGATGGCTGGACAGGCTCTCAGGGCATAGCAGGCATAGCTCCTAGTCGTAGCACCCATGAACTTCTGTGAGATGGTAAACATTCCCGAGGCTCGGATCCCAGTGGAAGGCCCAGTGCCCTTCAGTCGGACCGCGCGGTGGTGGCCAAGGCGGATGCCTCTTGACCTGGCGGTGACCTCGCGGCTGAGTGTTTTGTTGCTCCTCGTTCTGCTGTCTCTGTCAGAAGCTGCCGTTGGTGGCGTACCCTCCGCTGTGATCTGCTGCACAGGTGGCCGCTGTGCTTACGGCGGTGGTGAACGAGATCGAAGAGTCCGGTGGGCAGGCCGAGCACCAACTCAAAGAGCTGGCGGCTTACTTGGCCTCTTAGCTTCACAAAGCAAACGAGATACATAGATAGGTAGATAGATACAGCTGGATGCAACAAAGTATCATTATTGACGTAAAACACTACACGTATTAAATACATACATACATATGTGTGCATATATTCTCGAGTCTATACACATTTATGCAAATAACCCCATTCCCCAAAGACAAACGGGCCCATCAAAAACACTTTCAGATTTTGGTGGTATTTTGATTTCTGCTGCCATTTTTGACGGATCTTGCTCCTGCTCTGGCTTTTGCTCCGCGCTGGCTTTTGCTCCTGCTCCTGGTGCGTCTCTTGCTCTTGCTTTTGCTCGGATTCCTGCTCTTGCTCTTGGCTTTGCCATTCTTGCTCTTACTCCTGCTATCTTGCTCTTGTTCTTGCTCTTACTCCTGCTCTGGCTTTTGCTCTTGATCTTGCTCCTGCTCTTGCTTTTGCTCTTGCTCCTGCTGTTGCTTTTTGCTTTTTCTCTTACTCCTGCTTTGGCTTTTGCTCTTGTTCTTGCTTCTGCCCTTGCTGTTGCACTTACTCTTGCTTGTGCTCTTGCTCTGACTCTTGTTCTTGCTTCTGCTGTCGCTTGCTCTTGTATACTCCTGCTCTTGCTCTCACTGCTGCTCTTGCTCCGGGCCCCTCCTAACGCAAATTAGGGTTTAAAGGGCAAGGATCGGGAGGATTAGCCCCAAATTGTTTTTGTTGCTAGGAGGTGTTCAATAACTGGTCCAACGGATTATATCTCTGTGTGTGCGCACTACATCTACTAAGTGCAGCGTGGATTTATCATTTTGGTCTTCAGGCATGGGTTTCTCTTCAGTCATCCAGTGCTGCTTCTTCGCGGTTCAGAGCCGTGACGTGATGGACATGGACTGCTGCCGTCAAGTCGTTTTGCATGGAGCTCGTCATGTGCATCTGCCGGGGCATAACTGCCAGCACGGCCCAAGTGCGCAGGACCATAGCATCGCGGGGAAGCTCTGCAGAAGTCTGCAGCATCGGTAACAAGAGCAAGTGTCTCCTGAGGGAGATCGCCATGTCGATGGTGTGGCCGGCAGCAGATTTCGTGCTGTTGCAAATTACGATCAGTGCTCGGTCCAAGCAGCTGACCCAAGCCTTTCGCGCTCTCGTGTCCATGTGCTGCAAGATTATTTCCGTGTGTCGCTGTGAGATGCGCTTACGAAACTCGGCAAAGCCGAGACGGAGTGACATTGCGAATGTGCAGCCCACTCCGGGACAAGGAGGTGCACAAAGCAAACCGTAGGCGGCGGTAGGCCGGGTAGGCTTCCTCAAGAGCGTCATGGTCGAGCAGAAGACGTGTCCGCCTTCCCTGGACGCTTGACACGGGCTTCCAGGAAAAGTCGTGATCGATGTGCTGAAAGATTCGAGAGTTGCGGGCATTGTCGTACACACAAGCGCAATAGCTACAACTCCAGGTGCTTCAGCATCCTCGAGTCCTGCAGCTGCAGCGAATTATCAAGGACAGCTTCGGATGCAAAGCATACCTGCGATGCCTTGCTAGTTCTCAGCGCATGCACTCCCTCGCACATCCTGCCAAGCAGCCAGGAGGCAGCCGAAGCACGGTGCTCTGAACTGAGCCAGAGAAGGAGGGACGGAGTCGGAGGGCAGAGGGCCGAGGGTGAATTTAGGTCCATGGTTTCCGGACATGCGCCAAGGATCCGATGCGCGAGGGCTGCAGCGCCGCCTTGTTTTCGGTTGCAGGTGTGTGCTTGCAAAACCTCCTCGTTGTGGTACCAGGGCCAACTCCATGTGGGCCTTTGCCACGTCGAGATCTTGGGAAAACGCCATTGCATCGCGTGGGAGCAACTTGATACAGCGTGCTGCGATGCGGCAACTGAGGACCGCCCTGCGCGGCCCTTCGCCGATCAGTGCATAGGCAGATTTCACGCCGTTTCGTGGACTTGTCCTGCCATAGCATATCTTGTCATGAGGCACAAGCTGCCATGGCCGCCATTACAGAGCTTGGGCATCAGGCCGCGCTGTCTTCAGAAGCTGATCAAGTGCCGTCAATGTCACATGGCAGCAAGCTCGCACGATGGAGACTGGTCACTGGTCGTGCACTTTCTTGTCTTTTGCTCCACCTGAAATGAAAGCCCGAGGGCCTAAAGACCTGCATCATATCACAAGAATGCAGTTAGCACGGCAGCATCAGCTTGCAATTGCGAACATCAGTGTCAAAAGGCCAAAAGCGAACCTAAATCAGCAGAGCACGTGCTAGTTTTCTCGTGTCAACACATAGTAACAGTAACGACATAGTTCGGTTGCACTGGCCAGCACATTGACAGGTCACACGCAGTAGAAGACGAAAGAAATCAAGCCTGGTCGATCCTTGATCTGCTTGGACCGGCTGTGTGCCCGCCATGGGTGCCAAAGGTAGCCGTCAACAGCAGGAGGAACGGCAGGAGGTTACTGAGACGCCGGAGGCCTCCCCAAGGGCTGCATTTGCATCAAGGAATTCACGATCATTTTCCGGTGGGCGTTTGACCCGGTCCTTTTCATCATTGGATATCCTGGGGAGGGGAAAGAATCTCGAAGAGCTCGAGAATTTCTTAGGCCAAGTCCCACTCTTCAGATGCTTGCCAAGATCCAAGCTAACACTTTTGGCAGAAGCTGGGCAAAAAAAGAAATACGTCACCGGCGCTATCGTCATCCAAGCGGGAGAAGAGGGCGATTGCTTCTACATCATCCAGCATGGCGAAGCAGAGGTGGTTAAAGAAGGGTCCGAAGAACAAGAGGACGAAGAGGAGCTCCTCGTAGTACTTTCAAAAGGAGATTTTTTCGGAGAACGTGCTCTCTTGACGAAGGACGTGAGAGCTGCAACAGTTCGGGCAGGGTCGCCGCTCTCTCTTATCGAGATTTCACGCGAAGTTTTTGAGAGCATGGGGTTGAGAGAGGATCTAGATTTCCGTGGCCGCAATGCCATACGGGTGGAAGGCCACCAAACCGTGAAGACGAAGCCTGCAACTCCAAAGTCTCAGGCTGATCGAAAATTCATTCTGGACGCTCTTGCAGGGAACGAGAACATTTCCCAGTTCTTGAACGTCTATTCCATGCCTCAGCTATCGAGCCCTGCCTGGAGAGAAGACATAACTGTGGGTGAGGAGGTCATTCGCCAGGGCGACTCAAAAGCTGATTACTGCTACATCATCCAGAGTGGGGAGTTTGCTGTCATCATTGACGGGAAAGTTGTCGGGCATTTGAGCAAGGGCAACTGCTTTGGCGAGCTGTCACTACTTTATTCAGCTCCGCGAACTGCCACCATAAAGGCAACTAAGAACTCCTCGATATGGGTCTTGCCCAGGGGCTGGCTGAAGACCGCAGCACAAGAATCAGCAGCAACTCGGCACCATTCATAGCACTGTGCCTTCGAGCTTCTAGTTGCTTCAAGCAGCTACAGCGCTAGCTAGAAGCTTCTGGACTTTGTGACGGCGAGTGTTGCGGCCCCATTCGGTCAACCATTGAACGCATGTTTCTTATCAATTTCTCGTAGGCAGTTGTGGATATTCTTCCGGAGTGTTCAGACGCTCAACCTTACTGCACCATGGCCAGCCGACCATTTGCATATCATTTACAAGACTTGGCATCAAGCACTTCTGAAGGCCGTGGCGCCCGGAATTTTTCGATTCCGTGATTCACAGGGGGTGTTCACGGAAGTCCGGAAGTCTAAGGCAAACGCTGCGAAGAAGCGCCTGGTCTTCCTGAACCACGCGCCCGTGCTCGACATGCTTTTGCAAGACGAGAAACGTCTCCTCGCACCGATGCTCTCGGAGTGCCACATGAAGCAGAAGGAAGAGATCGTGGGCTTCGGTGAGGAGGAGGCCTCCTTGTACATTCTCACAGACGGCTCTGCCCGAATCTTGGAAGATGACCTAAATGTGGCTCGGCAGGCAGTAGATGGTGGATTTCAGTCGCACCGTTTCTTGCCTAGCTGCGTTCTGGAGTCGTTCGGACGCCATGTGCCCCGAGGTCATAGTGACCGCTGGATTCTCGCCAAACCAACTCCAGATTCACACCTTTTGCGAGAAGGCCTTGTGCGGCCCGGGGCATGCCAGTCCGCGGAGTGTGAAGATCACTTCTCCCACGGCGACCTGTTACAAACTGGATGGCATGGGCCCTAGCATTCACTCGAGTAGATGGCATGACGGCATGCAAGCAAGGCACAAAAGCACAAGTCAGAAGTGACTTGCCAGAGGTGTTGCATTCGCGGCCACTTTTGGGTCATACTTGGACATCGTCAATCAGAGCAAGAGGCCTGGCCCAATCAGTGGAAGCCACCACCGTTTTGCACGGTTTCTCCTGTCCTTGGCACAGGGGCTTCGACTTCATTGGCTTAGAAAGCCAAACGCGTGGGCGCTCCGTGGACACTTCCACATTGCTTTCGCTTCGCAAGAAGGAGACTTTGCAATGTCACAGACGAGGTGACCGGGTCATGCGCAGCTTAGACGGCTCTGCAGGATCTGAGAAAGATCGCACCTCTTCGCAACGGTCAATTTGGCGGCTTGGAGCTCTGGCAACAAACTCGCACAGGCCGCGGTGCTGAATCTAAGCTGCCCGTGCCATCAGCGTGTGCCGTGCAGGCGAGCCCTACATGGTGAAGTCGGTGTCCAAGGGATACGTTGTCGAACAGGCTTTGCAGGAAAGAGTCTTGCAGGACCCACCGTGTTGTCAATGAGGGGGTCCGTAATTCACATGTCTTGCACAGCAACCATAGAGATCTTTAGCCCCAACATCTGGAGATAGCGCGCGAAACTGACTGCAGGAGCGAGATACGATGCTGCTTTTCGACCATCCCTTCATCATCAAGCTGTTGCAAACCTTCTCTGGTGAACAGAACGTGTATTTTCTGATGGAGACAGCCTTGGGGGGTGATCTGCACAGTGTTTACCTGACGAATGCACTGCACGGATCCAACCCCTGAATTTACGAATAGTTTTTCTGAGTGTTTCAACGGGCTGCCAAATTGATTTTGGGTCGAAGTGGGCTGTAGGAAGGAACTTGAAGGTTGAGGGCTCGGTGTTTGTGGGATTGAGGGTCTTGTGTAGTTTTCTGATTTCTTGGGACCTGTTCCTTCAAGGAACCATGATACTTTCAAGTTTGATGGCTTCTCTCTGGTTACGTCAAAGTCCAGTGTAGGATACCGAGGGGCTATTTTTGAAAGGGCCCCCATAGATTATCATCGCATTTCTGCCTGACACCAAGGATCCAACCGCCATGCGCTTTTTTACGCTGCTTGTATCTTGTTGGCCTTAGAGCATATCCACAGCCGGAAGGTTGCCTACCGAGACTTAAAACCGGAGAATGTTTTCCTGTCTTCAAACGGCTTCGTGAAGCTGGTGAATTTCGGCTTGGCGAAAGTGGTGAACGGCAGGACATACACAATCGTCGGCACGCCAGAATATCTGGCACCGGAAATCATCGGCGCCTTCGGGCACAATCATGCGGTGGACTGGTGGGCGTTCGGCATCTTCATTTTCGAGTGCTTGTCTGGCATCTTCGCCTGCATGCGAGCTGCAGTTTGGAGCAGTGTAGTCCCACAGTAATTCGTAGAGTACCTGAGGCAAGACTCCTTTCGAGGATACCAATCCGATGCAAGCGTTCGGAAAGGCGATGGCCGGCATCGAGAAGATCCCGAGTTTTCCCTCAAAGGCACTCTAATCTAGTGTTCGAAGCTGCTGGAACATGCTAGGACGGGTGGGACAGCGCTGGCGATGTCGTTTGGCTTTGTCACGGTCAGGTGAACCCGGCAGCCGAGCGACTAATCCGGGCTCTTCTGAAGAGAGAGCCTGGTCGACGACTGCCCATGAAAGGCCCGCCCCTGCCGCACACCACCCGCCCGGTTCTTCGGAGGTGTTCAACTTCGGCCGCCGAAGCTTGCCGGGGCTTCTGTCAGCAAGTCTTCCTAGTTGCTTCGGCACCCCACATAGTCAGAACAGGTATCTGTTAGTCTGGAAGACGTCGTTAGCTTAGGCTTGATAGGTCGCTTGGCTTGTGTACTCGAGAGCAGCACGTGCAGGTGTGGCAAATGTTAAGCAAGCAGACTGGTTCGTCGGCTTCGACTGGAGATCCTCAGTGGCATGTCAAGACCGCCACGATCCGGAAAAGTGTGTTCTGTACGCTGTCAGCCGATCATAGGAGCAATAGCCGCTGTAGCCTGTCACCCTGTGAGTGCATGCCTTCCCGTCCCCAAGGACAGCTGACAAGGCATGAAATGGTGCCGCCCTTCCAGCCCTCGTTGCAAAGTGCCCCGACGTGAAGCTGTGGACATAGAGCGAGAGAGGGACAGAGAGAGGGAGAGAGAGCTACACAGAAACCACACGCATAAAAGGGGAGCTCAGCACTACTTCTCGGATTATCAGGCACATCACATGTGCAGGTTGTGCCAAGGAGAACGCGACGTCCCTGCGTAACCTGAGACACCGAGAGGCAGGCGAGGAGCGCAGGAGCGGGGCGAGAGCCCACCTCCAAGCACGTTGCAGCGTTGCAGCAAGCAAGCAAAAGAGAGCTACAGGTGAAAGCTTGGTATCGGAGGCAGTTCGGGCTGCGGTGGTAGAATGCTCGAAGGAAGGGGCCGGATGTGATTGACCTTAGTGCTGTGTGCTGCTTTACCCTCTGCTGTTACCAATCGCACCTGTTGAAATTTCAAACGGTGCCTGCCTCACGAAGGCGGCTGGGACTGCCACTCGTGCTTCTCGTAGCCCCTACAAGCAGGTGGAGCTCAGGCTTAGATCATAAGAACGTGTAGGCCTTGCTTTCGCACTTCTCTCAAGCAAGAGTTCGGTGTGGTGGCCACGTCGTCCCGGGGGGACAAGCACAGTCCTGACGCTCTGCACGGCCCTTGAACCTCACGTGTTGAGTCTGGTCACGCAATTTCTCGCGTTTGACCTGGGCCGCTAGAACCGACCTCACCCCAACATGGCCCGACGAACTGTCGCGGCAGATGGTTAGCATCAGGGGGTTCGGCCCCAAGCCCCCTATGCTCCTTACGAGCAGGCAAGTACACAAGCAAACAATGGTTTTGACCAGGACGAGCTACTTTCTCGCAAACATGCATTGCAACCCTTACCGGCAGAGAATGGCTGCAATTGCCCCCCGCGCGTACGGGAAGCTGTTTGCATCTTGGGACACTTTTTGCCGATCTTAGCTGAGGCAATCTGGACACAGACAACTTCAACAAGGAAGAAGTGGTCGCAGCACCTTCGGCGCCTTTCGTTGATGACAACAGTGGATGGGACAGGAACTTCCCAATATGGGGAGTTCAGCCTGTTTAGCGCCGCTTCGCAGAAACATCGCTGCTGCAACACCGCTCACTTGCCCAAGCGTTCCGCAGTGAGCTCCGGACCGGAAGCCGCTTCTGCAGGGCCTTGCCAACACGGCGTGGGCTGCGGCTGTATCGCAGATCGACCAGAAGCCACTTCAAGAAGCTCTTGGCCCGGGCCTAATTTTCTCCGTGCTGTGTTTTGGTCCAATTTTGCGGGGCTCTGAGGCAGCGAAGCAACTGTGAAGGCCGGTCGTGCAAGTCTTGCCATCTGCTGGAGTGCAGCGCCTCATCGCCAGGTTTTGCATTTCAGCCCACAAGACTCAGCAAGCGCAGCCTGGGCATGGAGCGCATCGAGGCCGCGCTGCGGGTGCCCACGCCATCGGCACGCCGCGTGACCTCAGTGACACCGGAAGGTAGCGCGGCTTTGCTTTGCAAATGGCCATCACCGGCTCGGCGATGTCTCAACTTCCTGAGCTTGGTGCGCAGGCCAGAAACGCCGCCTTCTGGCTGAGACTGTCAGATATGATGGTACTCTATATCTGTATCTATATCTATATCTCTATATATATATGTATGTATATATAAGGCAATCGAGTTGCATGAGATTTTTCTGTATAAAGCAGGCTCAGTAGGGATGCGCGCTCACCGATTTCCTACTTGTAGCTCGGCCACGGCAAGCTGAGGCAAATGTTGCAGCATGGCGATGAGAGGTTAGCTGAACAACGAAACATAATTTGACGACTTGTCGAGAAAAGGCTTTCTGGTGGGCATTGTTGCATCTTCGGAAGCTAGGCAGCTTAAAAAGCACACTCGGAGCCGCTCTGAACACACTCGAAGTAGCCAGTCTCCCCAGTCCGGACTTTGCGGATGCAAACAGGCGCCCACTGCTGCCGAATGCACAGCAAGCTTAAGAGTTTAGGATTGCAGGACCGACCTGGGCCAGCCACACGCGCAGACGATATTGACAAAGCAGCCGATATAAAGCCAGCGAGCCCCCACAGATCTTCTGCCAGTTGCAGCTAACAATTCCACGGTCAGAGGGGTGAGGAGGGTGAGGCAAGGGGCCCCTCTCTCCACCTCCCGGTGGTCCAGAGTCTAGAGGCCTTCCACCTCCCGAAAGCTTCGGGTTTAGTGTCTAGTGCCGTATACAAAGCACAGCATCGGCCGCTGATGGCCGCTACGCAGGACTGTGCGAACATGTTGCAGGGCCTCGCCGGACAAGCTTCCCGCTCTATGCCGGTGATCTGGCTGAGTTTGCGTCCCGCAGATTTTTGTGGCTAGGGTGAGATACGGAATTGCGGGTCTGTGAGTGTGAAAGTCCCGACTCGCAAGCCGGACTCTACTCGCAGTGATACAAGAAGCCCAGGTGCTGCATGCCTTCGTCTCGCAAGGCCGTCGAGGGGTGGCTTTGAAGTAACCAGGGAGAAAAAGCATAGACTTTCTATTTCATAAACTTCCCTGCAAGTACAGGTCCCCAAAAAAGTATTAAAGTATATTAAAGTATGGTACTCCAAACCCCAGAAACAATTCAATCGCGTCACTGGGCCCGTTTCCACTCAGCGGCTGTCGAGTCGTTCTCATCATCTGCGACTCGGAGCCCCAGAACTCGGCAAACGGTTGCTGGAGCCGTCTGGACCTGAGCAGGGCGCACCAGTAGCGGATCCTACAGGTAGCGGCCTAGAAAGGCCTCTGAGCTGGGACCCGGCCCTGCTTGTTTTGCGACACTGGCAACATCAGGTGCGTCACTCGCTTTTCTGCACCGACCCTCGACGGCTGCGACCGCGAGCATGGCTCGACGGCGGCTCACAGGGCACTCACCGCAGGACGGTCACAGCATCAGTGCCCTTAAACAAGAGAAGCAGAAGAGTGGAAGAACGTGTCTCTTTGAGGATTCGGCGAACAGACTGCGGACGTTTGCTGTCTCGGCCTCGCAGGCCGGGATGGCCCGGCGGAACTCGCATTCGGCGCTCACGTCTTTTTCCAACGTGCCCTGCGAAGGAGACTCTTTCGTTTGGCATGGTTGCTGAAATGTCCCTGGCGCGCCTCGCGGAGCTCAGCACCCAGGGCGTCCAGAGCCTACACGTAGCCCGTTGAGAAGCGACTGGCAGGTATGCTGCAGTAGAGTGGCTAGCGGCTAAACTGCCTGATGCTCTCGGTCAGCTGTGGGCCGGAACGAACTAAGTCACATGCTGTCGATGAAGTTTTGTTGTCGGGCGAAACTTCGTGGATAAATGGACCTTCTAAGGCTGCTAACAGCGCACGATACACGGCAGTCCTAGCATCGGCCAGCAGACCGCCAGCTGCGCTCTCAGTGCGACTTTGCCTTGCCTGTCACATCGGCAACCTTGCTTTCTGTAGCAAGGAGAGCGCTGCTGCGCATTGCGGGGCCGAGCGCTGCCACGAGTCCATCGCACAGGACCTGTGTAACAACACAGAGCGCCACTTTCCTGACTTTCCTGCCACACCTCCCCAAAACAATCTTCCACGTCCAATGGAAAGGAGCCTATCAACCTGACGCGTGCGCTCGCATCCATGGAGCATTCGACAGAGGTGGCTTACATGCGTGGACATGGAAAAGAATCGTGATATTCGCGCAGCTGTTGCTCCAGGGCATGAGAGAGTCCGCCGGTGCCAGCGTGCACAAGGCCAGCAACCGCGCTGTTTGCTCCTCTGTATACAGATTTCGAAATGGGGACATCGACAGCGAAATAGAAAAACGAATCCTTGTCGACTGACACGAAAAGGCGGCGCGGAGGGGGGGGGGCAGGACAGACAGAAAAACAGAGACAGTGGCTTCTTGCTTCCACAGCACAACATCGGACATCACACCCAGCAGTGTGTTGGAGCACGCCATGTTGAAAGATATTGACACCAGACAAAACGGAAGGCCGTTCGCCAGTTCAGCCAGTGACTGGAGGATTTTTGCATACAGCCCGAAGGATGACGCAATTCGTTCCGGGAGAAATCAGTCAGCATGTACAAACACTGTAAGTAATTTTTAAAAGCTGTGGTTGGGTAGTCACTTTGCTGCAGTTGGTTCTGTCCTTCGAGCCCTTGGCTTCACGAGCGTTGACATAGTTTGACACAGACCAAAGTGTTTGCATTATTATCTTCTCTGTTGCAAAGCAACGGTGATTGAGAGGCCTGAGCCACCGTGTAGAAAAGCAGTTCGTCGATATTACATGTCCGCTGGCTGCAGCTCGAACAGCACACGAGGAAGTTTGCGGAATCCGCCGTGAAACGCAACGACATTTTTGGGGATTCCTGGTCCAAATCACCATTTTCGCTGAAAGCGCAAGAGGGTGGGAATGGCAGTTCGAAGGATAACTTCGGGAGCATTTTCGGCACGTTGAGTTTTGCAATTGCTTGCAACTTGACTAAGCTTAACAGCTCTTGGCTTGAATCGCGCTCCGTCACCACACACCTGTAGTCACCTACCTGCCTTTTGCCTGCAAAGCCTCGTCCTTGCCATGGCGGCGCCGCCTGCAAGAGGGGAGGCGGTGATGTTTCCAAGTTTTGGCTTGAGTGGGCGCAGCTCGATGCCCGCTTCCTGCGAGTTTCAGTCAGCTTACGTAGCAGGCGAACGCAGATGTTGGCGCCACAGTGGGGAGGACTTCCTTTCGTTGGCCGCAGGCCGGCAAACATTCAGATTTTCGGGAACGTAACGGTTTTCCGGTCTCAAAATCCAGGCGTTTGCGGAGCTTTCTGGCGCGATGGTACGATGAAACAGGACCTGATGACATGCTGGCCTTACAGCTGCGCTGAGGCTTTTGGGGGGGGCCGGGCCTTGGGAGCTCCAGGAGAGCCCTTGAGCCTGCTCCGGACACCGGCACCGTCTCCAGAGGTTTCGACAGAACTTTGCAGATCATTGCCTAATGTTGGCTTCTGGCGCAGAGGCTTCAAAGAGCCGAGATTCTTTGGAGAGCCTTGGGCTTGGCTTTTGCGAAAGCATCACTTGCTCATTTGGTGCCACCGTCACGCACGAGGTTCAGACGGATTTGAGGAGGCAGAGTTCTTGAAGGACTCCGAAAGCATGGCAATGCTGCGTTACCCCATGGCCCTCGCCCTGCCCGCCATGTATTCACTCATTGTGGCACTTCTAGCTGCTATCGTGGCACTGCTGCATCATACCTGAAGCAATCAGTGTGCAAAGTCATGTCGCAGGATTACTTCCAGTCACAAGAACAGGCACGCCACCTTCCGCAGCGCGTGGTTATCAGTTAGATGTTTGTTTGTTGCCATTGCCGCAGACGTACCATGCGGTGCTGAACTTCATCAGTCAGGCTGAATATTGTAAAAGCAGAACTGGTTGTCAAAACGCATTGCCAACGGTTAGTTTGTCTCACTTCAGGTGTCCATCCATCTCAACTACTGGCTGGCCGCAGCCCTGGCGCTACACCAGGGAGATTCGAATGTTCTTGCTGACCGACATTGCAATCGGACAGGACTGGGCCACACCCGTCCACCGCCGCCCACGGTGGGCACACCGCTTGGCTAGGCCGGGTGGGAACAACGGCACGCACACCGCAGCGCGTAGACTGGCTTGAAGGGGTGCCACGAGCCTTGTTGGAGCGAGCTGGAGATGGCTGCATCTTCAGCCTAGGTACGGTTCGTGCCTCCGTACCCGCCAGGAAGCTCTGGAGCAGTTGGCTGGTGCTGTCCTCAACTCAGCCCACGACGTCCTCTCGCCACGAAAGGTCTTCGCGTTCGTCCGTCGTGTCAGGTCAAGACTTGACATGATGTCATTCTGTGAGGGCCAGGGGCTGCTGCTACAGTGTCACAGTTGTGTACGCGTCGAGGCTCGGTCGGCCCCAGATCACTGCGCCCGAGCGCTGTGCTTCGCATTTTGCGCGGCTCAACGAGGCTCGTGGAAGCCATCTGAGCTTGCCCAATTTGCCTAATGCGCAGAACTGGATCCTTGAGGTTTTTTGGCCTCACAATTTTGGAGCTTGAAGCTGGTAGAGAAGGAGCAAATTACTTTCGTCGGTGCCTTGCGACGAGGAACTATGCAGACTTTTGGCTTTCATCCAGGCAGGTACCGACAAAATGTCCCCATGAGAATGCGGTTGCAGTAAGCCGGCACCCTGCATCAAGTTCTGTGGTCAGGTTTCCTCCTTCGAGCTGCTATCTTCTTGTTTGGACTCGGAGTCTGATCGCTGCCAAGCGCTTACCAAGGCTCTTCAAGGTCTTGCCTGGCAGGCGTGCGAACATGCGCACATGGGCAAATGCGGACTGCGGTCATGAATGCTTATCCCGGAAGGAGCAACTTCTCATGATGTGACGGGTAGACTGGTTTCCCGCTCGTCAGACACGTGCAGCAGCTTCCACCGCGGCGGATTTGAACTTCGCATCTCCTGTCACCAGGTGGAGGCTGGGCTTTGCCAGGGCTTCGGCG